TTCCTCCACCCTTGCCATCTTCACCATCATCGTCATCGGCATCTTCACTCTATTATCAGCATCAACACCATCATCATCATCATCATCATCATCATCAGCATCATCATCATCAACGTCATCAACGTCATCAACGTCATCATCATCATCAGCATCAGCATCAGCATCATCATCATCATCATTATCGCCATCATCATCAACATCAACATCATCATAACCATCATCGTCTTTCATCATCATCATCATCATCATCATCATCATAATCATCATCATCATCATCATCCTCATCAGCATCATCATCATCATCATCATCATCATCATTGTCATTATCAGCATCATCATCATCATCATCATCATCATCATCATCATCATCATCATCATCATCATCATCATCATCATCATCATCATCATCATCATCATCATCATCATCATCATCATCATCATCATCATCATCATCATCATCCGTCGTCGTTTTGGCTCAAGGCCCGGACCTGTGCCCGGAGGCTGAACCCTGGTCGCAGCCGACGGGGCAGCTCAGTCGGCTTAGGCGCAGCGCCCTTTTTCACCCACGACCCCTGCTCGGAGACCTGCCCCAGTCGCGATGTGGCACTTTGGAAAGTGTTGAACGTCTACTGAAAAACCAGGTTGAGACACAGTTCAAGCAAGCCAAGGATGCGCCAGCGGCCATGGAGAAGCCCACGCAGGCAGACTCCGCGGCACAGGGCTCCACGAACAAGCCGCAGCAGAAGATGGAAACTGCAGAGGTTGAGACGAAAGAGAGGTTTGCTAAGCTGGGGTCGCAGATCTGCGTTCTTCTGGAGGCGAAGTCGCATGAGTGCATCGAGGACCCGTACCACGAGGACATGGAGGAGGGAGGAGCTCAGCCTCCCACCCGTGTCAACCCGCTCGCCAAGAATGTCGATGGAATTGAGAAACAGTTGTCTGAGTTGCACGCGGCGCGAGCAGCGACATCGGCGGCGGCGTCTACGGTTTTTTGGGGCACGTTCTTTCGACAGTGCCCCTGCGCGCAAACGAGCGCGCTTGCTTGGAGGCGGTGGTCCCATCCTGGCCGACGACGATGGGGGCGTTGCGGATCGTTGCAAGATCTGGGTGCGAGGGTTTCCAGGGAAGCTGCTCAAGTCCAGGCTTGACGCGCCGTTCGCCGCGATGGAGTCTCACATGCCAACTTTCGACCGAGATCGTTGCCAAGGCTAGACGAGGAACATGTTAACCGTTTGCGTGGTCAAAGTCGAGTCAGAGCAGGACGCCAGCACCTTCTACGACCAGTTCCGCGTGAAGCCACCGGGGTCTCAGGTCATCCACAACCTTCGAGCGGGGCGCGATCTGCCGATCGACGCGTGGAAGAGGGGCTACGCCCTGAGCAAGTGCTTGGCGATCTGCAAGACTGCTTCGACCAGCAAATTGCCTGGAAGGCCGAGATGAAGCTTGGATGTGATCCATTCCAGGGCGTGTGTTACTTCATTTTGAAGACGTGCCGCTCGGGCTGGTCAAGTGCGAAGACTCGCTAGACGGGACTTTCCGTTCGAGCCGCAGCGCGGGACCCTCAACGGGCTGGGCATCCCAAAGGCGATCGCAGAGGGGATTCTTGGGTTGATCCAAGGACCCCTCAGCCAGTCATCGTGGTGGTGTACCATGCTGCATGGTTGCCTGGAAGAGGTGCAAGCGAATTCTCATAGTATCCCGACATCGTGTCGCTTGACGGGCGAAGACGAGCATGAACCTGTTGTTTGAATATGATTGACAGCGTTGCGCCTCAATCTCTGAAGCGTAGGCGGCCGCAGGGCAGCCGAAAGCGGCGGGGGTCTCATCCTCCTTATCGTCGTTTTCCTCCTCGTCCTGTTCCTCCCCCTCTCTGCCCTCGTCCGAACAGTGCAGGTCAGAATGCCAGCGGCCATATTTGACTTCGCGGGCGTGCAATCTCGCCTCGTGGAATCCAGGTACCTTCTTCGGAGCGGCGTCAGGTTGTGATTCTCGGCAAAAGCGTGCCCAGTGGAAAGCTCCGGAGCTGTACTGCACGAGTGTCATCTTGCATTCTTGCAGAGGGAGCACTGTCTCAATATGGAGTCGTAAACAGACCCTGGGCCTCAACTCGGCGTAGGTTTTCCGGGGGGGGGGGGGGCGATTGGTTTTTCCTTCGTATCTGGCGAGCAAAGGTTTCCCGTGGTCTCCGAAGACACTCCAGAGGCATCTGCGGCATCTAGTTTCGGTGTTTTGTATGTTTTATCAGCTTGTCGTCACTTTGCCGAAGTTGGTCAGCATGATTATATTCATTGGTGTGAAGCCCACGAAACTGTTGTAAGTGTTGGTCGTCTTGATAGATGGTATACTAATTTACCTAGCTCGTATTTCCAGGATTTGAGTGTCCGCAGTTTCGTTGCTGTCCTGGCCCGCGATCGTGGTGGACTTTGGGCCATGTGCCTGTCATCCTTCAGTTTACCATTGGTAGAAATATTGCGCGAAAGCTGCCTAAACGGGCCGCTTTCCCACCCCGAATTCGAGGTTTCCCTGAACGGGATTGCGTCGGAGGCCCGCCGGCCTGTCTGGGGATCCTCGGGGGCGTGCTCTGGAAATCAGAGTGCGCGCATGCTGTCGGGGACTGCCTCAACGGGGGGATTCTTCGTAACGGCCCCGCCACAGACATACAAAGTGTAGCAGCGCGCTTGAAGTTTAAGCTTGGCGCCCAGCGGTCGGATCGACGGTTGCGTCGTAGGTGTTTGCAATCTCTGTTTGTGTTGTGCCTGGTCTGCGATGGCGACGGGGGGGGGTTTCCGACCACGCAGGCTTCCACCAGCATTTACACGGCTTACGCAGTAACATGTTACACGGTGAGTTCAGCGAGTTCTTTGCCGAGAACCCTTCGGCCTCGCATGCCGATCCCAGGCCGGTGCACCTTCGCGACTTTCTTGGGCTGAGGTCGCCGAGACGACGCCGTCTCGCCCTCGTCCGCGCGCCCGACCCCGGGAGCGAAAGCGTTGAAAATCTCGCTGTCCACCGGGGGTGGCCCGCGCCGAGGTTCCGAGGTCCACGGCGCGAGCGGGTCAAGCGCTATCTATTTCAGGAAGCGCAGCAGGCGTCTCCTGAAATCCATTGGAGGTTGCTCAAGTATGTGTTCATCGGCTTTTTGCTAGGCAAGCGTGAATCAGCCCCGGGCCCCGACGGCATTGGATGTGCCGCACGGTACACTGGAGGCCGGTTGTGCCGCGATTCCTTTTTCGATCTCTACTCCTGTCGGTTCGACTGCCAGGAAGGGAAGGCTGAGTTCATGTGCGCATACATCTCATTCATTCCCAAGGAGGATCGAGGTGGCGGAGGAGGAGATAAGGAATGGGAGGCCTTCCGTGCTGCGGTTGCCACTCGAGTTATTTCGTCATATCAGAGACAATAAAAAACCGTGAGTTCAATCATTGTTTGGAAAAGTTTGGGAGTTCCGTTCGGACTTCTCGCGTCGGGGTTGGGACGGTTGGGCCCCCCTGGCGGCGCTTGAGGCGCAGCTTGTCGGGAATCAATGTATGACCACCGCCCATGCCATCCAGTTTGTTTGTGGGGTGGTTTGCGAATATCGCGTTTTTGGGGAATGCCATATTCCTGCACACAGCACCCGCTCCACGGTCTTGTGCCAGACCAGCTCTTGATTTAAGGTGGTGCGCAAACATCGTGTCACCACCCTGGCGCGCCCCGCGCGCCTGGGAAGGGGAATCCGGCGCCGATCCGAGAGATCAGCGCGGATCTCCGACTTGTTATATCTTGTTACGCTGAGGGACTTTGGCTTCGCCGGTTCTGGCCTACCACACTTCGGCGCGACGCGGTAACCACGTCCCAGTCCCCGAGCGTCAATGTACCGAGCTTTTCCCAGCTTCCCGCCCCGCGGAGCGGAGCGACACGCTCTTCGCTTTCACGGTATACTGAGCATGTCGCTGGGGCCGCCGCCGAGACACGCAAATGGCCTAGACCATATGTTGATGCAGACTTCTGAGCTGACCTTCGCACGACTCATCGACCTCACTTTGGATTTGCCGTCCTGGCCTGGTTTCCTCCCACCTTATCCTGCCTTCGTGCCCAGTTCACTTCGAATGCTCCCTGCCGCTAGTTCGTTCACCTTCTGAGCCCAGCTCGCCGCTGACCAAGAAAATGTTTACAGTCAACGCGCCTAGTAAGGACGCACGCCTTCGTCTAGGGTGCCCCTGTGTCCCTGCCTCTGCGGCCCGTCCTCTGCGGTTTTCATTGGTCGCCCACCGCCCCAAACAAAACAACTTCGGCCTCCAAGGGTCTTGCTTTCTTCAGGAGGGGAAACACGCACAGACACATTTCATCGTCGACTCCCAGGAAAATATGGGAAAATATGGGAAAATATGGGAAGTGGAGGGGAAGACGAAAACCCAGAAAATATAAGAAGAACATATGGGGAATACTGGCATTTGTATGTATTTATTTGTGTGTCCGCGGGCCCCTTCGAGGAGTCCACGCTGCGCCTCCTGTGACCATGCTGCGTGTCCCGAGAGCTCCAAGAGCCTCCAGGGCTCTTCCGAGAGGCCTCTCGACGGCCTTCTGACGCTCCGCTATCTGTGGGGGCTCCCAAACGGGGTGGTGACCACACCGTGTGGTGAGTCGATTCGGGGTCACCGCACGGTTTTGGGACTCGGGTCGTTCTCCGAGGACGTCTCGGGCGACTGGGGCATCCGAGGTCCCAAAACCGTGCGTTGACGGACCGTGCGGCGAGGTCTTGGGAGATTTCGAGGTCACCGCACGGTCTGTCGCCGCACCGTTTCGGGTCTGCAAATATCCGCGTTTTGGATTCCACAAGCTGTTCTCCCCGAGCATGTTTTTTGGGTGGAGGGCAAAGGGTGAAATCTGAAATGCCGTTTCGATCGATTTAAGCTCGAATCTGCAAAAGGTGAATCAGAAGAAGGATTGATTTTCGAGGTGCAAAAGCACATGGATTTCACCCTGAGCCCTCCACCCTCAGGAGATGCTCAGTCTCCCAGGTACACCGAGACCGTCAAGGGCAGGTGGCTGGCCTCGTCCGCCTCGCTGCCGGAGCTCCGGGGGCTCAGCGGGCAGGGGCGCGGCCAGGCCGCGGAGCCCGCGGAGGCCTCGGCGGAGGCCTCGGCGGTCGGTTCCCCGATGTGGCTTGCCTGCGAGGTTGGCGACAGCGAGGACTGAAGAAGCAGCTACGGCGTAGACACGAACTGCTGGCTCTAAGTCGGGCCTGTCCCTCCTCTATAGAGGTGGAACAATCAAAGATAACAATATTCATCATAATACTAATAAGTAAAATCATAATCATAATATTATTTCATACTAATAATACGATTACTAATATTAAGAATACTCATCACAATAATAACACTAATAACAATAATAATGCTAACAATACTATCAACAATGCTGATAAGCATAGCCTGGGGACGTTTTTTTGACTATGCTTGCGCATGTTCGCTTTCCTATACACATGTATGTAGATGTACACATATATATATATATATATATATATATATATATATATTCGTATGTATGAATGTATGTATGCATGCATGCATGTATGTATGTATGTATGTATGTAATGGAATGGAATGGAATGGAATGGAATGGAATGGAATGGAATGGAATGGGATGGGATGGGATGGGATGGAATGGAATGGAACGGAATGGAATGGAATGGAATGTATAGTGTGTGTGTGTGCATATATATATATACATACATACACACACCGGGGAACGGGAATTGGGGCCGCCAGATTGGTGCCTCGGACCCCCATGGGGGCCACGGGGCTCCAGGACGCTCCCGGGGGCCCGAACCTCGACCACACATGTGGAGCCCGGGGCCCGGGCCGCCTCTGAGAGGGCTGAAATCGCCGTCGGGAGCCCTCAGACAGCCGTCCCGGCAGCCCTGGACGGTCTCGAGACGTTCCCCAGACCGCCTCCAGGCGTCTCCATCCGCCACGATACGTTTTAAACTACCCAGGAAGCCCCCCCAAGACGTCCCAAGACGCCTCAAGATGCCGCCCTAGAGCGGCCCGAGAGGCCCAACTCGCTGATTGTCATCAGTTTTTGTTTCTATGTTTTTGGCATTCTCCCTGTTTCGGCTTCCCGACGCTCCAGGACCGCCCAAGAGGCTCCGGAGACCGCTCGAAGACGGCCCCAGAGGCTCCCAAGAGAGCCCCAAGACGGCCCACGAGAGCCCCAAGACTGCCTCCGGACTCGCCCAAGACGGCCCAAGAGAGCCCAAGAAGGCTCCAGGAGCGAGCCTCAAGACTGCCCCCAGACCCGCCCAAGACGGCCCAAGAGAGCCCAAGAAGGCTCCAGGAGCCCTCGCACAGCCGCCCCGGCGGCCCCAGACGGTTTCGAGACGCTCCGAAGACCGCCTCCAGGTGTCTCCAGCGGCCCGCGATGCGTCTGAAGCTGCCGAGGACGTCCCCCAAGGCGCCCCAAGAGGCGTGAAGATGCCGCCGACGAGCGGCCAGAGAGGCGAACATCGCTGATTTTCATGAGTATTTTCAATGTGTTTGCTTCCTCGCTGTGTTGATTTCCCGACGCTCCAAGACCGCCGCAGAGGCTCCCTAGACCGCTCCAAGACGGCCCAGGAGCCTCCAACAGAGCTCCTAGACGGCCCAAGAGAGCCCCAAGACTGCCCCCAGACCCGCCGAAGACGGCCGAAGAGGGCCCGTAGAAGGCCGCAGGAGCCCTCGGACAGCCGCCCCGGCGGCCCCAGACGTTCTCGAGACGCTCCCAAGACCGCCTGCAGGTGTCTCCAGGGGCCCACGATGCGTCTGAAGCTGCCGAGGACGTCCCCCAAGACGCCAAGAGGCGTGAAGATGCCGCCGACGAGCGGCCAGAGAGGCGAAAATAGTTGATTCTCATTTGTTTTTTCAATGTTTTTTGCTTCCTCGCTGTTTCGGCTTTCCGACGCTCCTAGACTCCTAGACCGGCCCAGAGGCTCCCCAGACCGCTCCAAGACAGCCCAAGAGACCCCCAAGATAGGCCGAAGACGGCCCAAGAGAGCCTTAAGACTGTCCCCAGGCCCGCCCAAGACAGCCCAGGAGAGCCCCAAGAAGGCGCCAAGAGCGGCCCAAGAGAGGGAACACGCACCGAACAGTCGAGCTCTCCTCCCCAAGATGCCCCCAGGAAGCCCCCAGAGGCCCCGAAGACAGCCCAGAAGGCCACTAAGAGGCCCCCAAGAGGTCCAAAAGAGGCCCCGAGAGGCCCCAAAACGGCTTCCGAGAGGCTTCAAAACTGCCTACCGAGGTCCCCCAAACATGCTCCGGAAACGCGCTGCCGGAGCACGTTGCCGCCTCTCCTTCCAGCGTTCGGTGCCTAATGAAGACTTCAGTGGACAACCGTGCACCCAGAGCTCCAGCCTTCTACCTCAAGAGGCCGCCAGGAGGCCCCACAAGGCCGCCCGGAGGCCCCCAAGGCGCTCCCAGGAGATCCCCTCAGACGCGGTCTCCAAAGGTTCTTGGGCCGTCTGCCGGCCACTCCGGGCGTATTCTGGTACGGCGCCTCGCGCACAACATGCTCCGGAAACGCGCTGCCGGAGCACGTTGCCGCCTCCCCTTTCCAACGTATGCATGTATGAACGTCTGTATGTGTTTGTTGTCCGTGTGTATTCATGCATGCATCCATGTATGCATGGATGTATGTATGTGTGCATGTACATATACACATACGTATATACACACATATGTACATAAATATATATAAATACATACACAACCATATATATACATATGTACAACAATATAACTATAAATATAAATATATGGATGCAAGCATACATACATGCATACATATAACGTCTTTGGTCTGGTTGCGTGCTTGCTGCTTGCCACTTCCTGAACTCATGTTCGCACGATCTGCGGGCCTTCCATACGTGCAGCTTTGACCTTGTCCAAGGCTGGGGTTGGCTAGAACCTACGCGCGCGAAGCGCGCGCGAAAGTTCTAGTGTGTGTGTATATATATACATCTATACATGTGTGTTGATGTGTGTATGTATATATATATACACATATACCCGTGCAAGAGGCCGGGGCTCCTGGGACCGCGACCTCGGGTGGGCATGGGGGTGCCGGGCGTCGTTTTCCCTATGTGTTTACAAGGTTTCGGCGCCCCAGAGCCAACAGGGCCCCAAAAGGCTGCAGGGAGGCCCCAGGAGGCCGCAGCAAATGGCCCCAGACGCTTTTCAAGAGGACCCCCATGACGCCAAGAAGGCCCCCGAAGGCCCCGAAGACGCCCCAAGAGGCACACCGAGAGTGGCCCAATAAGCAACAATCGCCGATTTCCGATTGGAAAACTGATACTTTTGGCGTGTCTGCCTTTTGGGCGTCCACTGCGTCCAAGACGGCCCAAGGGGCACCCAAGCCGGTCGAGGATGCCCCCAAGAGGGCCCCGAGACGGTCCACGAGGGCGCCAAGACGGCCCGCGAGGCGCCCAAACCGCACAAGAACGCCCCAAGGCGGCGCCCAAGACGGGGGCGAGGAACCGGAAATTCTGGCATTTTGGCCCAAGAGACCCTCGGAGACCCCAAGACGCTCCAAGAAAGGGCCCAGAAGCCCCGAAGGGCCCCCATGAGACTTGAAAAAACAGTAACAGAGGCCCCGAATACGCCCCAAGAGGCACACCGAGAGTGACCCAATAAGCAAAAATCGATTTCCTATCGGAAAACTGAAACTTTTGGCGTGTTTGCCTTTTGGGCGTCCACTGCATCCAAGACAGCCCAAGAGGCACCCAAGCTGGTCGAGGATGCCCCCAAGAGGGCCCCGAGACGGCCCACGAGGGCGCCAAGACGGCCCACGAGGCGCCCAAACCGCCCAAGAACGCCCCAAGGCGGCGCCCAAGACGGGGACGAGGAATGGGAAATTCTGGCCTTTTGGCTCAAGAGACCCTAGGAGACCCCAAGACGCTCCAAGAAGGGGCCAGAAGCCCCAAGAGGCCCCCATGAGACTTGAAACAACAGCAAACGAGGCCCCAAAGACACCCCAAAGAAGCACCCCGAGAGTGGCCCAATGAGGAAAAATCGTCGATTTCCTATAGAAAAACTGATATTGTTGGCGTGTTTGCTTTTTGGGCGTCCACTGCATCCAAGACGGCCCAAGAGGGACATGCCCGACCTAATGTTGGCCCTCCGCGCGGATCTCTCGGATCGGCGCCAGGCCTTGGCGGCGCCTCCGGCGCCGCCTTCAGCGCGCTCCGCGCGCCGGGGAGGGCGGGTCCAGCGCCGATCCAAGGAAGCCGCGCGAACATCCAGATGCTTTATGCTCATGTGTATGTTGTTTCTTCTGAGGACGCCCTCTACCGCGAGTGCAGCAGAAGCTTCTTCCTGCTGAGGATTAACAGCCTGATAGTGCGCTTGGAGAAAAGCAAGGTCGACCTTGTGCAGCCGCTGCGCCGAAGCGCCCTTGATCGCAGTGTTGAGTCCTGAGGCTGCCACGGCCGCTCGCTCCTCCGTCATGCCAGGCCCGCGAAGGCGAGCAGTGGTCGCTTACGTGCGCAAGTCGTTTGTGTCGACACTTCGAAGCTATAGGGGCCAGAATGGCTCCCACGTCTTTCTTGAGCTGGAATAACTAGCTGAAGCTGGAGGCGCACAGTTAGTCGATGTGATCCTCCTAGCCGTCCTTTTGCGTCCCCGTCCCCAGAGGTCTGGACCTATTCCCCAGGGCCGGCTGTTCATCCTAAGTCGTTCTTGAACGGTCCCGAAGCTCCGCGAGGGGCCCCCAGAGGCCTGAAATCACGAAAACCGTCCGTCGTGATTTTCCAATGACTCGAAGGGTCTAGGTCTTTCCCTCTGTCCCTGCCGATCCTCCTCTGTAGGTCGGCTTCGGTGGATCTCTCGCGCCAGGCTTCGCCCCAGCAGGAGAGGCTGAGCCTCGTGGCTGGGACGGGCTCCGCGCGATGGCGCGCCCCAGGAGAAGCCCCCGGCTGTTTGCCGGAGCGATGCCGGAGAGGCTCGGAACACGAAGGAGTGCTCGAGGGAGGACAATCGAAGAAAAACATCACGATAGTTATAGACATTAACTCTTGGCGCTCCACGCGGAGCGCCCAAAGTTTATGTTTATGGCGGTTTTTCTCAATCTAAACAAGAGGGAGCAGGAGCAACTGTATTCAGAGGACGAACAAGGAACCCGTACCGCTACCCTTCTCCCGTCAGCCTCCTGGGAGGCTCTCGTTGCCACCGTTGGATTCGATTCGAAATTCTCGTCGGAACGCATCCCAGGAAAGGTCCGGGGAGTAGCTGTACCAGTACCTTTCGATCTCCCATCTCCCCAAGAGGGGAACAGGGGCGAGGCACAACATTCGAGTCTCGAGGTTTGAGGTTTGAGGGCGTTCTCGTTCGCTCTCCAGCCTCGGGGTGCTCTCCAGCAGCTGCGCCTCACGCGTAGCGTTCTGCAGGTGCCCCGATCGTCCCGACCGGCCATCGAAGTGCCAAGCCGTGAGTCAAAAACCAGGAGGAAACATTGTGCGGAGATGGGCTTTAGTCGGGCGTGTCCTTCTACAGGAGGAAAACTCAAAAACGTTCCAAAAATAGTCCGGGCATTAGTTGTTGAGTATGTTTTATACGTCTGAATATTTTGGGGTATTTCTAACTTTTGTCGAAAGTCGGCGTGCAGGGGGACATGCCCGACCTAAGGATAGGCCCATGGGGGGTGCATCGACCCTCAGTCGCCAACTCGTCGCCGAGCCCCCCCAACCCGCCCTGGAGCGTGCGGATCCGCTGTCGGGGGCCCACCGCCAATCTATCGCCAATGCACGCCGATTCTAGGTTCAAGTCGGGCATGCCCCGCTACAGGAGGAAGATTTAAGAACAGTTTTGAAAGATAGGGTGGTATCAATTCGTTTGATTTCCTCCAAGATTCGCCTGCAGGATGGCGCCCGACCTGATTCTAGGTCGCTGCTCCGCCCCCCTAAGCCAGCCCTCGAGGCGCAGCACAACCTTTGGAGGTCCGCGCGGACGTCGTCTCGGACCTTTGCAGGGATCCTCCCCTCCCTGCCGCGCGGAGAGAGCGCCAGGGGCCCCCCCGGCGCCGATCCAAGAGGACTCCGCGCGGAGCTCCGAAAGTGTGTGTGCTTGCGGCGATTGCTCTTCCTCGGGGCCTCTCGGTCGTACAGCGCGCCCCCCGTGGGAGGAGGCTGTCGGCACCAGCCCCGCAGGGCGACGAGCCGTGGGCACAAGCCCTCGGGCTCGGCGGCTGTGGCGTCGAGCGCCGGCGCATGCCCGCCGCAGTTGCTTTGTGTTGTTGCTGTTGCTGCTACAGCGGGGACGCGTACGAAGAAACCGTATGATTTTCGTCATGGCACCCCGGGTTTATGTTCTGCAGCTGCTAACCTGAAGTCGGGCCTGTCCCTCTACAGGAGGAATATCCCAAGATAGTATATATGATATAAGCGGCGTCCGGGGCCCCGCGGCCCAGGGTCGCACACTTTTCCCAAACTCCCCCCCCCCCCCGTAATCGAATTTGCCCCCTGGGCTGCGGGGGCCTTTTTTGGCATCCAGGGGCCCGTTTTCTAAGTCCCAGAACTTTTTCCGCTTCCCCGAGGCGTCCACCGAGGTTTCTGGGGACGGCAAGAAGCCGCCAAGACGGCCCAAGAGCGCTCCAAGCCGCCCACGATGACCCCATGATCGGCCCAAGAGGCCCCCAAGATGCCCCAAGGTCGCTCCGCGAGGACCTCCAAGAGAGCCCGAAGACGCCCAAATCATTGATTTTCATGTGTTTCCAATATTTGTTGCTTCTCATGTTTTCGAGCGGCCGATACTCCAAGACTGCCCAAGAAGCCTCCAACGTCGCCCCATGAGGCCCCCACGAGGCCCCCAAGAGGCCCCCAAGACAGCCCAAGAGGACCGCATGATCGGCCCAAGAGGCCCCCAAGAGGGCCTGAAGAGGGCCTGAAGACGGCTCCAAGATGGGCTCAAGAGGGAACGCGAACCGACCTTTCGAGTTTCCCGCCCCCAGAGACCCCCAGGAGGCCCCAAGAGGCCCCCAAGTGGCTCCAAGAGGCTCCAAAGAGGCCCAAAGATGCTTAAGAGAGGTCTGACAAGCTCCACAACGACCCCATGGAGGCTTCAAACCTGCTTCCAAAAGGCCCCCCCGAGAGGCATCCCACGATATCTTCCCAGCGAACATCCGAGAAGCCTCTAACCCACAACCCAGACACGATTGCTGGATGGGCCCAGAACTGCGACCTCTGGTTCGTATGGGGGGCGGGGGGCCTTGAGGGCTCCAAGAGGGTTCAGAAGGGGCCCCGGACCCCTCCAGAGGCTCCCAAGCTGGCCCAAGATATTCCCAGGAGGCTCCAGACAGCCCCCCAAATGCCCGAACAGAGGCGCCCTCTGCCCCAAGAGGCCCCCAGGAGGCCCCAAGAGACTCCCAGGAGGCCTCCGCGACGCCCCAAAAAGCCACCGAAAAGGCTCCAGAAAGACCCGAGAAGCTCCCGAGAAACCCCCACTGAGCTCGGAGGAGGCCTTTACACAGACCCTCAGAAGCCCGCCAGAAGCCCTTCGTCCTCCATGCTCCGGAACAGCCCTTCGGAACACGTGGCCTTGGCTGCACCCTCCGACCAGCCCACCCAATGTCGAGTCCCGAGGGCGCCCCCATGCCTCTCCCGCACACATGGATCAGGTGACGATGATGCTGATCGTCGGTGGTCCGTCGTCGTCGTCGTCGTCGGTTGTCGCTGGTACGCTGCAGACCAAACCCTTCCTTGAACTTCGCAGTATCCGCCCGAAAATCACGCATGGGTGAAAGGGAGGAACCCGGAAGACCACATGGAAACGGTCCCATAGAAATTGACACCGCCTTCGGAGTCGACTAGAACCGAAGCGCGCGAAAAGCGCGCGCGTGGTTCTGGTAAGAAATAGTCGGGGGACGATGGTTGGAGTAGTTTTGAGCAATTGGGAGTCTTCGCACAAAATCCCCCCTGCAGGGGGACACGCCCGATCTAATGCTGACACTGCCTTGCTTGGCGGTCCCTGTGGCGGGTCCCGGCCTCGGCTCTGCGCTCGGTCGCCGTGTCTTTCCTCCGCCGCCGTGTCTTCTCCGCGGGCCCCCGCTCGTGCGCCTTTGGTGTTCCGGGCCCTCGCTCGGTCCCGCTGCTGCCTGGGGCTCAGCGTTAAGTCGGGCTTGTCCCTCTACAGGAGGAGTTATTCAAAAATAGTTAAACCATAGTCTGGGGACGATTGCTTTCAGTATTTGTTGGTCATGTTGGTGTATGTTTTGACTATTTCTCTTATCTTTCGTCCAAAATCGGCCTGTAGGGGGACATGCCCGACCTAAACTTAGCGCTTGGCTCAAGCCCCCGTCCAGAACAACAAATTGGGGTACCCTGGGTTTCTTCGCTGCGCGCGCTGCGCAGCGACTTTCTCGGGCGTTAAGAGGCCGCTGCAGTCGGTGTGCCTTGAGTTTCCCCCTCCGATGTTTTCTCTCACGCGGGCTTCTAGGGTTGGGGCTTCCTATGAGAGTTTCTTGCGTCCGCGTCCGCACTGTGTCCGCATGCCAGGCGCAGCGCTGTGCCCAGCGGCTTGAGGCTGTCTTGTCTCTTCGCCCCCTCATGCAAGAAAAAGGCCGCCATGGGGGTTGGGTCGGCGGCGCGCCCGGGGGGGCAGTGAGGGTGGGCAGGCCCTCCTCGGGAGGAGGAGGAGGAGGAGGAGGAGGAGGAGGAGGAGGAGGAGGAGGAGGAGGAGGAGGGGGAGGAGGAGGAGGAGGAGGAGGAGGGGGAGGAGGAGAGGAGGAGGAGGAGGAGGAGGAGGAGGAGGAGGGAGGAGGAGGAGGAGGAGGAGGAGGGGAGAGGAGGAGGACGAGGAGGAGAGGAGGAGGAGGAGGCAGGAGAAGGAGGAGGAGGAGGAGGAGGAGGAGGAGGAGAGGAGGAGGAGGAGGAGGAGATTGGAGGAGGAGAGGAGGAGGAGGGAGATGGAGGAGATGGAGGAGGAGGAGGGAGGAGGGAGGAGGAGGAGAAAGGAGGAGGAGGAAGAGGAGGAGGAGGGGAGGGAGGAGAGAGAGAGAGGAGAGAGGAGAGAGGAGGGAGGAGGAGGAGGAGGAGGAGGAGGGAGGAGGAGGAGGAGGAGGAGGAGGAGGAGGAGGAGGAGGAGGAGGAGAGGAGAGGAGGAGGAGGAGGAGGAGAGGAGGAGGGAGGAGGAGAAAACAGGAGAGGGAGGGAGGAGGGAGGAGGGAGGAGGGAGGGAGGGGAGGAGGAGGAGGAGGAGGAGGGAGGGAGGAGGAGGAGGAGGGAGGAGGAGAAGCTCTTTTCGGAAGGCGGTGCGGCTTCTCAGAGTCCCTCCAGCCTTCTGAGGCGCCGCCTTTGCCTCCGGAGCAGGCGCAGAGAATTCTTCGCAGAAGGTCGGAGGCCTCCCGACGAGCCCTCTGCGCAGGCCCGCCCCCGTCTGCAGATCCCCCACTGGGCTCGCCGCCGACTGGGGTCGCAAGGGCGCCTGGCCTCAGGTTGCTCCCAACATATTCAGAGACCACGTGTCAGAAATAATTTCGAGCACCCCAAAAAAGTATCGAAACAGCGTCGAGCGTGTACCGCCTCCCAGGGCCCGACACGTGAAAACTTTCAAGTTTCGGTATTCTCTTGGTGCTCGAAATTCTGTCTGGTGATCAAGGCTAAAGCAGGTTGGAACATCATAAGCCTGGCCATTCTAGGCCTCCCAGATTGGGTCGGAGTAGATGGGGTCAGAGGATCGCACTGCATCGCCGATGCATCGCCGATGCGGCTCGATGCGGAGCCCGATTTGTTCCGCGCTGGCGTCGCCGATGCATCGCCGCCGTCGCCAGTGCGTCGCCGATGCATCGCCGATGGATCGTCGATGCGGGTCGATCCTTCGACACCATCTGGTTACTCCGACCCCATCTGGGAGGCCTCTAGCCTCTACAGGAGGAATCTCCAAAAATTGTCAAAACATAGTCTGGGGACGATTTGTGTTTTCATCATTTTTGAATGTGGTTGGAATATGCCTTGGGTATGTTTTATTTTTCGTGCAAGATCCCCCTGTAGGGGGACAGGCCCGACCTGACTCTAGCCATGGTCTCTTCCCTCTCTGTCGCACCTCTTCTGCTGCGACGCCCCTGGGGGCAGGGGCTGCCCGCGCTGGCAGGCGCAGCGGCCTGTCCGCCCCCCTCGCCCCTCCGCGGATCTGACTCTTTCTCTTCCGCCCGGTTCCTCTTGCAGGAGGACATGCCCGGCCTATGGGTAGGCTGCAGGCTCAGTCGGGGACGCATCGACCCCCAATCGCCCGTTGATCGCCAGTATGGGACCCGACAGCCCACCCCGCCCAAGACCACTCGGACTCGCTGTCGAGAGCCCAGTGCCGACCTCTCCGCGAGAGGCAGCTCGATGCTCCCCCCCTGAGCTGGCCACTGCCCCTCGGCGGAGGCGGCGGCCACCACCACGGAGCAGGAGGCTGCCCCGGCGGCGCCGCGGCGCGGCCCCCGGCCGGCGGCGGCGACCGCGCGCCCCACGAGCGCAGCCTGCCGCTCTTCCCGTGCGCACCGGGGGGGGGGGGGCCGGCGGCGGCGCTGGCCGCGGCGGCGGCGGCGGCTTCGGCGGGGGCGGCGGCCAGCAGCGCCAGCGGAGGCGGCCGGGTCTGCAGCGGCGGCCTGCGCGCGGCCTGCGGCCATGGAGGCGGCGGCGGCGGCTGTGGCGGTGGCTTCGGCGGGGGCGGGCGACGGTGGCGGCCGCGGCGGGGGCGGGGCGGGAGAAGGGAAGCGGGAGGAAAACAGCGCAGGTGGCAATTGACGCCATCATGGGAAGTTGGAAAGGCGCGGAGGTACGTTAGACCCTCCTCTAGGACGTCCTCGTTGGCCGAGGGTCCCTGGAGGAGTCCTCGGCCTCCTCCAGTGGCTATTCACACCTTCATGTAAAGGTGTGGGGGTGGGGACCCGGGGACCCACGCAGTCCCTATGATGGAAACTGCGCGGGGTGTGAGGCCTATTCTCACGGGTGAGGCCGGAAGACGGTTCTCACCCGGTGGGGGGGGCGAGAGGGAGGGGGCGCGCGCGCTTCTCGGCGAGGTGGTTCCTGCTGATGGCCCTGAGGCGGGATTCCTGAAAAATGGGCCCCAAATTGCATACACAGCTTCGACTTCGAAACATAGTATGCCTTGCGCACTCGGGGAAGGGAAAGAGGAGGAAGGGGGAGGGAATTGTCCGTCCCCACTGCACTGCTGGATTCACTTCCAGGGAAGGGGAAAGCGGTACGCAACAACTGATGGCCGAGAACGCACAATTGAATTCCCGGCAGGGTGCAAAAATCTGTACCGAGCGCCAGGGGGGCCCCAGTTTGTCAATTGAAGTCCCCGCATGGTCGGTGGCGGCCAGGCGGCGGAGGCGGCATGTCCTGACAGGGGCGCTCTTGGGCCCGAGGCTGGCTCGAAATCGGGATCGGAGAGCCCTCCCTTCCCAACGCCACCGCCCCGGCGGGCAGCGGGGAGGGGGGGGGGGCGGGCGGTCGGAGGGCGGGAGAGTGCTCCCAGAGCGCCACGCCGCCACGGCCGGACGCGGCTCGGAGTACACGGGGCGAGGGGCCCATGGGAGCGGGGGAGGGGCAGGCCGGGCGCGCTCGCGCAGGGCGGCGGCGGGGCATCGAGGCCCACGGTTGCGTGCGCAATGCTCTGCACGGCCCTTGGGGTGCTGCCCTTCCTGCTCGAAGGAGGTGCTCACCACCTCTCTGGGGTCCGCGCTGACAGTCCTGCTAGTGCTGCTTTCTGGCTCGTTCCATGCTCCCTCCCGCGTCACGTCCCTCTACCATCCCTCCCCACGCGAAGACGAGGAACCTGTGCACGCAGAGGCTGTCGGAGGTCCGCGCAGTCTTTTCCTGGGTCGGCGCTGGACCCCCCCCTGGCAGTGCCTTCAGCGCCGCCCCTGGCGCGCTCCGCATCGCCAGATGGGGGGGGGGGGGGGGGGGCAGCTCCGATCCAAGGAACCTGTGGCGGACGCCCCCGGCGAAGACTCTCCTTATCCCCCGCGGCAGCCCACTGGGCGGCACAAGTCCCACGTACGTGCACCCCAGCACTCGTGCAGCTACGGCCACTCGTAGTCGTAGTCCCAGTCCTGGCCGTCGTCGTCGCCGAAGTCGTGGTCCTCGAGGTCCGTCGTCGGTGCTAGGATCGTTGGGATCTGCTCGCGCATCCGTGCGGGTGTCCGAAAGCTCGTTTGCCCCGCTCCGTGGCCCCGCTCTGTGGCAGTCCTCAGGCCTTAGGGGGAGGGAGAGAGGCGCTCCGACCCCGCATGCGTCCACCCTGGGAGCGGTCTAAGACAGAGGCCCTCGCCTTCGAGGGCATCGGGAGGCTGCCCTCGCTTCCTCGAAGCCGGCGGGAGCAGAGCATGCGCCAGTCCGCCGGCGGCAATGCGGCGGAAGTGGAACATCATTCCCAGAGAAATGCGATGTACTTTCCACGTCCAAAGCATGGCTTGATTTCTTTGGACGCTCTGCGCAGTAACACGAACAACCACACAATCACCAGTATGATCACCATCATCAGAATCATCATCAACATCAGCAACAACATCAACACCATCATTATCATCATCATCATCATCATCAGCATCATCATCCGCTCACTCACTCCCGCGTGCAGTCACCCACACACCCATTTTCTTCCAGGACGATAGGTCACCGGCCAACATCACCACGCCATTTTTTCATACTCGCCATCACCATCATCATCACAAAATCGCCATCACCATCACCATCACCATCCCATGTGGACGCCAGATTATATTATTAATCTGAGTGTGTCATCCAACACCGGTAACTGTCGTCACGCCTGAGCTCCCGGGGCATGAAGCTTGGGACGTCTCGAGCGGGGGCCTCGTCTCTATTGCGAGGAAGTCTCGAGCAGGACCCCCCTCCCTATGAGTCCGCCATTTCATCTGATTTGTTCGAGCCGAGCGGGTCATCCCAAACCTGTAACCGTCGTCACGCCTGGGCTCCTGAGGCATGAATCTGCAAGACGTCTCGAGCGGGAGCCTCGCCTGTGAGTAAATGGTCAGGAAGTCTCGAGCGGGAGCTTCCTCCCTATGGGGCCGCCGGATCATGTTATTGACCCGAGCGGGTCATCCAAGAATTGTACCTGTTGTAATTTGTGGGCTCCTGAGGGATGAGCCTGGAGGATGTCTCGAGCGGGAGCCTCGTCTGTGAGTGAGCTGTGAGGAGATCTCGAGCTGGATCCTCCTCCCTATGGGGCCGCCACACCATGTTATCAACCCGAGCGTGTCATCCCAAACTTGTAACAGTCGTCACATTATTAGCTTCTGAGGCATGAATGTGGAGGAAGTCTCGCGCGAGAGCCCCTGAATGAATCGTGAGGACGTTTCGAGCGGGATGCCCCTCCCTACGTGGCCGCTAGATCACGTTATTAATCCAAACGGGTTATCGAAGCTTTGTAACGCTTGCCATGTTTCGGCTCTTGAAGCATGGGTCTGGATGAAGTCTCGCGCGGGAACTTCGCCTCTGAACGAATTGCGGGAAAGTCTTATGCGGGAGCCCCCCGAGGCCTCGTCTCTGAGTGAATTGCGATGATGTCTCGAGCGGGACCCCCCTTTCCCACCAGGCATCAACAGGCATCAGCAGAGGGCAGCAGGCAGTGGCAGGGACCAGCAGAGACCAGCAGAGAGCGGGGGGGGCCAGCAGAGACCAGCGGAGACCAGCTGAGACCAGCAGAGACCAGCAGAGAGCAGCAGAGAGCAGCAGACAGCAGAGAGCAGCAGCGACCAAGTAAGGCCCGCAGGGAGCCCGCAGACACCAGCAGCCGCCAGCAGAGGGCGGCAGAGAGTAGCAGAGACCAGTGGAGAGCAGCGGAAAGCAGCAGTTGGCAGCATTGACCAAGCAGAGAGCAGCAAAGAGCGGCAGAGACTAGCAGAGACCAGCAGAGACCATCAGAGAGCAAAGGGCGGAGGAGGGGTGGGGTGGGGGGAACGTATGGCAGAGAAAGGTCGTCCATTGTCTTGCTGTCATGGGCACGGCCCAGTACCATCTCAGCTATCGTCGTGATTGCCTCAACTATGGAGATTCGTCCTCCCTTCTTTTCTCTTCTTCTCTGCCCCGTTTCTCTCCTTTCTCCTCCCTCCTTCTCCTCTTCCTCCTCCTCCTCCTCTTCCTCAACTATCTCTCTCTCTCTCTGTCTTGCTATATGTGTTGTTATCTCTCCCTCTTGCCCTATACATCTATATATGTTTACACACACACACACATCTCTCTCTCTCTCTCCCTCTCTCTTCTCCTTCTCCCTGTCCCTCTCCACCAGTCGTTTTCCATGCATCCTCCTACTCATCCGCTCGTTTACCTTGTCTGCTTAGAGCGCAACGCCCGTTGGCCCGGGGAGCAATGCCCATCTCGTTGAGTGTAATACCCCCAGTCTGTTGCAATGCCCAAACATCGGGCGCAATGCCCTCCTCGTCGGGCGCAATGCCAACCGGCTTGAGGCGCAAAACCCACATCGCGTGCAATGGCCTTTTCATTGGGCGCGATGCCCATCGACTCTTGGCGCAACGCCTGTATCGCCGCGTACAACAGCCTCTTCGTTGCTTCGCGCCCAACGCCCACATGGGTGCAATTCCCCCCTCGTCGGGCGCAACGCCCATCGGCTCAGGGCGCAATGCCCATCGGCTCTGGGCACAGCGCCCACATCGGGCCCAGTGCCCTCCTTGGAGGTCGGGCGCAGCGCCCTCCCCACCCGTCGTTATCCATGCTTCCTCGTACTCCTCCTCCCTCTTTCCCTCTCGTTGCTTGGGGGGCACCTTCGTTGGGAGCGATGCCCATCGGCTCTGGGCGCAGTGCCCTCCTCGTCGGGTGCGGTGCCCGCTCGCTCTGAACGCAATGCCCGTCTCGCCCACGACGGCCTCTGCGTTGGGCGCACTGCCCATCGGTTCTGGGCGTAACGCCCACTTCGAGCGCAATGCTCTCTGCGCCGGGCACACGAGCGCAACGCCCGTGTCGCGTGCAATTGGTTCGTTGTTGGGTGCAGTGCCGTACGGCCCTGGGCGCCACCAGGTCGATGTTTCCCCCCATGCCTGTCCCCCTGTGTCGTTTCCTTTCCTCTTCTTCCTCCTCCTCCTCCTCCTCCTCCTCTTCCTCCCCCTCCTCCTCCTCCTCCTCCTCCTCCTCCTCCTCCTCCTCCTCCTCCTCCTCCTCCTCTTGCCTCCAGGCCACGGTCCACCTCGTCCTCCTCCTCTTCCTCCTCCTCGCACCCGTTGTCCTCGGCCTCAATCGTTTGTGTGTGTGTGTTCTCTCTCTCTCTCTCTCCCTCTCTCTCTCCTGCGTCCACTCGTAACTCTGCTCCCGCCCCTTTTTTCACTGATCATTAGATCGCCCAGGAGAGTTTCGCCCTCCCTTCCCCGTCTTCAATCTGTTTTCCTCGTCCCCCTCTGCTTTCATCCTGCCGTCAGTTTCCCTCCTCTTCCTCCTCTTTCTCCCTCTCTTCCTCATCCTCCTTCTCCTCCTCGTCCCCGTCCTCCTCCTCCTGCTCCTACTCTTCCTCTTCCTCCTCCTCCCCCTCCTACCGGGTTTGGCAGGTTGCCCGCTCGCGACTACGACCTCTGCGCTTCAGAGATGCCCGAACCGTTCGTGGCGACTGCGCAGCGCGGTGGTTGGACGGAGACCTCCCACTCCGTGAGGGCCGGCTGTCCCTACAACACTCAGGTACCTCAGGAAATTGGGGTCATTCCGAAAAATCAAAATTCGACGACAAACGTGCCTCATCATCTTGTAGCAGGGTTTCTGATCCTAGGTGTCTGTTGTGCCCGGGGGATCTCGGTACATACAGCTTTGGGGCGCTCCAGGAAAAAACAGGGGGCCTCACCTTCGGCGCATACTTGTCAACGGCGGAAGGCTGGCGGAAGTGGAGTGACGGCAGCTCTGCCGGCGGAAAGCATGTGGAACCAAACGTGAGGCGTCATTTGTGTTGGTGATGCAGGGTTTGTGTCAGCAGCGGCGAAGCGTCCTGGCTCGCCTATAGGCCCACCACAGACTGTGCCAATAACGTGTTGTGGTTTGCACATAATGCTATTAGATCATGTATGGCTGAGATCGTGACTGTTTTTGTTTCACCCTCTTGTTTGCTTCCAGTAGGCTTTCAAGAAATGCTGGGGTCCAGGATCGGTTTAGAAGAAAACACCATGGACCTCGGGCGTTTAGGAGTGAAAATAAGAACGCAGCGCCTGCCCAGCGGGCATCGCACCATCAGGATTGATGATTTTCAGGGCTCCTGCAAGGATTTTAAATGCCCGAAAGGCGGTATTTCAGCGGCATTCTTGGCTGAAAGAGAGTGGTTTTCATTGCGGCGACAGCCGCTCAGGCAGCTCGGAAAAGCACTCACCTTTCTACTTTGCCTCCAGCGTCAGCCGAGGGGACCGAAGGAGCCTAGTCGAGTCCGGTCGTGGCGTCTCCAGGGTCTCGGGGACGGGTCCTACTGTCTCCAGCCTGGGCATTCGGGAACCCACGGACGGTTCAGGACGGCCGTTTTCGAGAGACGATCACTGTTTGGGCACGGATCCTCGATCTGGATCAGGTCGCGGGGATGAACACACTAAGGGAGGCCCGCCAGGAGGAAGAGAACAAAAATAAGACCAGTACCACGGGGTCGACCTGGTCTGGATCGGAGACCCGGTCGAGACGCAGCTCGTGGAGACGATGTTGGTTGACGGTATCATTTTTATCCGGACAGCTACTTGGCTCAAGCATTTGGGCCACATCAGTTCTCGACGATCCTTTCGGCACCGATTACCGAGCTCAGCAGCATACGAGAGCGGGCGATCACAATGCTGAGAAGCCAGCCCACCGAGGCTCAGCTTCGAGAAAGACGCCCAGCTACCGTGGCCGAGCAGATGGCTGGGAGCGACACGACATGGACGTACGCAGTAACAGGCACGACGGTACCGGACAATCTCAGCAAGGCACAGCGCGGCTGGGCCAGTATGGTCGGCACTACAATCTTTTGGCTGAACAAGATTGCCGACGAATTCGGACGCATCATGGTGACGCGTCGTTTTTTGGCCCACCAACTTGCCCAAGGAGCCCAAGGTCGTTCCTCAAGCATACTTCAGCTGCTGGCATCCACCGATCAGCGTCGAGCACGGCAGCAATGGATATGGCTCCTGGTGGGCGTTCTCTGGTTGCACTATGCGAGTGGGATATGTCGACAAGAAGCCAGACAAGACGAATCAGGACACAGACGTGATTTGCCTGTGCAAGCGCAAGACCGCAGCATGTTCACTCTGCGGTCGTGGCGTCGCCCAGCAGAAGGGCGCCGACCCGGAGTGGAGAGCCATGGTGGCCGCTCCAGCACCGCCGCCAGGCACTCGCGGGATCACCCCAGCTGGAGTGCCGCCGCCTTGGCCAGCTCAAGCGGGTCCAGGAGCCGCTCAGCAGTGCACAAGGGTGAGCGAGGCCGACAGAGCGGACTGGATAATGGGCGAGGCAGAGGAGGACCTGCGGCGCAAGAAGCAGCTCCAGCGACAGGAGGCGACCTCAGCTGCGGCAGCGGCTTCCGGACCAGCCACCCCGCGGGAGCAGCGCAGCAGGAAGACGGAGAACGGCGAGGAGATCGCAGAGGTGATCAAGATGTTGAAAGACATGAGCACCAAGCAGGAGCAACAGCAGAACGCGATCAACCAGCCGACGAAGATCACGTCCGGCCAGATGCACGCGATGGCATTGCTCCAGTCCCAGATGCAGGCGCAGAGCCCAGTCAAGGAGCAGCACCTGGTCAAGGAGCAGCCGCAGAATATGTCGCCGGGACAGTCCTCGCAGCAGCCAGCGCCAAGCCAGGAGAGGAAACCAGGCCCTACAGAACCAATCCCAACGGCGATGGCGAGAGCCAGCGACGCCTCGGTGGTTCTCCCCAACGGCGGCAGAGGTGCTCCATCAGTCCTATCTGGCGGACCAGGTGCGCCCGGGGGAGTTCCACACCACTACATCGGGACGCCAGAAGGGGGCACCAGACGTCCATAGCCACGACACCTCACATCATGGCGCAGCAGACGCCCCCAGAGGCCTCCTTCCAGATGATCTCGACGGCTCCACTGGTGGCAGCTCATCCTTCCTACGGGGCGGCCCCACCCTTGCAGGGGCCGCAGGGGTAGGCGAAGGGCTACAGAAAGGGGCCGACCAACCCGACGGGTCTGAAGGATCAGGGGGGCAACCTGCTATCTTCTACCACGATCAGCAGCATCGATCTTCCCATGTCGGGACTGCCTTCCCAACAGTCGGTGGCGGTCCCACCTCGCAAGCGGAATTCTCGGCCTTCGAAGCCCTCTGCCGAGCACGGAGATCCCTGGACCGAGACCCCGGAGGCGAAGCAGGCGCGGGATCGGCGCCGGAGAGAGGCAGAAGAGGCAGCCAAGCGCGAGAAGGATCGCTTGACCAGGGACGGCTGGACGGCGGCGGGGTGGAAGTCGCGGGGCGGCAAGGGCCAAAATTGGGTCGACGACGACCAGATGTGGGACAAGAGCGGCCAGAAGAAGTGGTAGGAGAGTCCCCGCCCGAGAGTGATCCACCCTCGAGCGTCGCCCGAAGCGTTTCCGGCTCCGCCAGCAGGGGGCTGGGGGCTGGGGCGCCAATATTTGCAGCACATTCGAGATAGATTCTGAAAGGTGCCAGGCTTTTCAGCGCCATTTCGACATCGAGTGGGAGGAGAACGGGCAGGTTCGATTCAAGTGTCCAGAGCTCGACGACTCCATGTTCCATGACTCCTGGTCCGACGATCTAGAAGTTCTGATGGCCAAGCGTCTGAAGAAAACCACTCTCAGGGATTCGGGCATCAATGGGCGTTGCAGGCTCACTACATGTTTCAGGGATCGCCTGCGGGGCCGAGCTTTCACAGAGGTCTCTTCTCCTCCGCGAGTGGCGCAATTCGCTCAGCGCGCGGGGATCTCCTGTCTAGGCAGCTTCGACAAAGAAGGGGGCTGGGAATTCACCAGGAAAGGGGGCCGAGACAAGCTCAAGACTTTCATCAGAGGATAGAGATCCTGGGTGATTATCGTAGAATCCCCTTGCGGCCCCCTTTCAATTTCCAGGAACGCTTATGCCCATCAGGAGATAGCCGAGGCGCAGCGGCAGAAGGACGGAGAGTCACTGCTCTTGCTAGGCTTATCGATGGAGATCGCAATGACCCAGGTCGAAGGCGGCCGCAAGTTCGCTTTTGAACGCCCGTCTAGTGCATCTTCCTGGTCAACCCAGGCAGCGCGGCATATTATGGGCCTGGCGGGAGTGGAATACAGCAATATTGACCTGTGCCACTTCGGTCTCACCGTTGACAGATGTGGGGCCTCATCCAAGAAACCGACCCGTTTAATTTCCAACTGCCTTAAGTTCCTAGAACGTTTTGTTTCAGCTAAGTGTTCTAAAGATCGTGTTCACGTTCAGCTCACCGGGGGGGAATGACTTCAAAAGGTTCGCGTTTATCCGCCTACGTTCGCCAAGGCTTCAGCCGAGGCCGTTCGAGCCAGCCTGGAGGGCGCCCACCTGGGTCCCACCCCGCAGGAGGTCAGGGCGGTCCGGAGGCCCCAGTATCAGCCGTAGTGGAGTCCCCGAAGGGGGGGCAGTATTCCCACGGGAGGGGGGGCTCAGCCAGTTCGACCGGAGCGGTAGACGGAGGAAGTGAAACAGCCCAACCCGAAGGGGAACAGGGCGAGGAGGCGGAAGCCGAGGAAGAGCCAGAGACAGAGAGGTTTGTCATCACCGCAAAGGTGAAGCGAATGATTCACAAAGTGCACGTGAATCTGGCTCACCCACACAAGGATGTCTTTCTTAAGATAATGAGGGCGGCCCAGGCGAAACCGGAAGTTTCACGATACGTGAGAGACGAGTTCACCTGCGGGGATTGTCAGGCGCATTCCAGGACGGCCATGGGCAGGCCAGCGGCGGTTCCAGAAACGTTTGAGCTCAACGAAATCATCGCCTTCGATACTTTCTACCTCGCGTTTAAGGATGAACAGTTGGCTTTTCTTAACGCTATATGTCACGGGGCCAATTTTCAGGTTGTGGAGCTCTACGACGGCGCGGCTCTTGGCGCTTGGAGAGCGTTTATGCGTGCCTGGGTCAGGCCTTTCGGCCCACTAGTGTTCGCCATCGCCGACGGGGGCCCTGAATTTAAGGGACAATTCGAGAGGGGAGTTGGACATCTAAGTATATTCCATCACGTTGCCGACTCGGAGAGCCTTTGGCAGAACGGCACGGCCGAAAGACATGGGGGGTGGGTGAAAGAAATTCTGCTGAAAGCCTCGGAGACGACCCCCGTCGCCACGGCGCTGGAACTCGAAGCGCTGGTCCATGAGGTCACGGCGGCCAAAAATCTGTACCTCCGCAGAGGCGGATTCACTCCGTATCAGCTTGTTTTTGGGGTCAATCCCAGGATTCCCAACGATATCCTGGCTGGCGATCCGCTCCAGGTTGTCGGTCGGGGTCGAAGATCTTTCTCCGGGGTCCTGGGGCCGAGACACCGCCTCGGCTGTTCGCGAGGAGAGATGCTATTCGACGGCGCGCCCGCAAGGAACTCTTTGAAAGCTCCAGTCCCAAGAAACTGGCGAGCGCTGTCAGAGCCCCCATTCACCGAGATAAGCATGTCGTGCCGGGCCAGTGGGCTTATGTCTGGCGCTGGGCGCCCAGGGGGGACAGAAGACCTACGCTTTCCAGAAAGATCGGTGGGTCGGACCGGGGCTTTTTGTGATCCAAAACGGTGGAAACATTTGGGTGGCGATGCGGTCGAGGCTTTGGAAATGCTCGTCGGAACAAGTTTGGCCGGCCAACACGGAGGGGTCTAGGGGTGGCGAGGTCATGGCAGATCCAGCCATTCAGCAGCTCCTTCGAGGGGCCCAGGTCAGCGGACACCGAGCGGGGGCCAACGTGGCTTCCGAAGGTCCACCACCTCCGGAGGCTTGGGATCTGGGGGGGCCCATTGAAGATGGCCCGGGGGTCGATGTTCCCGCGGTCGAAAGAGACTCCGGGGCCGCCGCCGGAGAGTCGCTCGAGAGGTCACCTCGACCACCTCCGGGAGGAGGAAGATCCCAGAGGGGGCAGAGCGGGACACGAGGGCCCCGTTCTGGAAGCTCCTCCCGGATTTCCCTCCATTCCCGAAGGCAGGGAGGCGACCCCCTCAGACGACGCTCGCGATCCAGGGGTGAGTGGCGGGCAGATCTCGAGAGGAGTCTCGTCCGATCCGGTTAGCACCGGAGTTTCGTCTCGATCAGAGTCTAGAGACTCGCTTGCACCTTCAGGCGCTGCGTCCCGCACCGCGTCGGAGAGGAACGGCGCCGCGGGCAGGGGCGCGCGGCAGAGGCCCCCTCCTCTACCACAAGGGGAGGGGAGAGGGCGCGCCTCGGAGCAAGGGGCTGCCCCGTCGGGCGCGCGCGGCGAGCTCCCAGAGGCGCTCCGCCAGGCTCCGGACGCTCCTCCGCCCGTCAATCCCCTTAGATTGAGCATTGCCGATGCGGCTAGCCACCGTCGCCTTGCCGATTCAGACCCCCGTCGGACCCTGCGCGAGATGGAGGAAGCTGCGAGGCGCAATCGACACCTGGGCGGGCATTCATGGTTAGCCGGGCTCACCCCCGGGGAGACTTTACGAGGGGCCCCAGTGGGCAGGGTCCAACAGCAAGCTTCCGAGTTAGAGCCCGCGCCACAGCATCCTCGAGCCAGGCCTCGCTCCCCAGGTCCGTCCCTGGGCACGGCCCAGGCGAGTGCTTCTCTTGTTCCCAAGCATGGGGGAGCGGCGACCGTCGCCGACGCCTTCTTCGAAGCTTGTGCCGGCGACGGCGGAAGCCATAGGGCGGTGTTTCAAGATTTGAATCAAAGACTCCAGGAGGAAGGCTGGAGCGGATCGTGGATCAATAACTCCAGCGGGAATGCGGACATAGCGGTAGTTCCCCACGAGTTCGGGGAGTGCTCTCTGTCGCTTCTGGTCAACCGGGGGGCCGAGGTTCATTATAAAAAACGGACCCCCGATGAAAGAAAAGAGTTTGACGTTTCGGACTCGGCGGAGTGGGGGGCCATCGCCGAGGGGGCCAGCGCCGTTATCGTGCATCCCCCTGACAAGGCCAAGGAACTGAGGAGGCTTTTCCTTAATAGAATCGTGACCAGTCGCACGGTGAGAAGGTGGAAGCCTCAACAGGGGGCCTTTGCGATACCTAAGGCCAAGTCTAGGTGGCGCGTGCGTGGGCATCAAGGCGAAGACACCTGCGAGCTGCAGGTGTACGCGCCCACTCCGTGTATGGAGGCACTGATGCTGTTTCTCGTGGTGGCGCTCATGTATAAACTAGTCATTTACATTGGAGACATTAAGAATGCATTCTGTCAATCAGAGCCTTTGAATCGGGCTCGGGGGAGGGTTTTCGTCGAACCATGCGACGGGGTGCCAGTGCCGCCAGGATCTCTCATCGAGTTCATAGCCCCGGTGTAGGGTTTAGATGATGCCCCATTGGCCTTTCACCGCACGGCAGCTAACTTCATGCACACCCAGGGCTTCGAGGGAACCAAGTTAGAGCCGTGCTGGTTTGTGAAGCGCTACGACCGTGGGTTGGAGGCCCAGGTGCTCGTCGAAGTTGACGACTGGGCCATCGCGGTCAAGCCTGGGTCAGAGGATCAGTACATCAAGCCCTTCAAGTCAAGGCTCACGTTCGGGGACATGCGTCTTCTCGACGCTGGAGGAGTTGAATGCATCGGGATGAGATTAAGGTTAGATGGGGATCGTATCTGAGTGGTTCAGGAAAAATACATACTCGAACAGCTCCAGAAGATCCCTGTGGCCCGAGGCAGAAAGGGAGATCACGGGGCTCCCATTGCTAGGCGGTGAAGTAACCGCTTTCAGATCTCTCGTTTATAAGTTGCAGTGGGTAGGCCGAGAGACCAGGGCGGAGGCCGCTGGCACGGCTTCGATCTTGGCCACCAAGGTCAATAGCCCATGCGTTCGAGATTTGCTGGACGCCAACAAGATGGTATACCATCTTCGTTCGACGGCCTCACTTCCCGTAATCGCATGGCGTTTCAGGCCAGCTGGGTTTTTTTTTCTGGCGACTGCCAGCGGGTGGAGCGGGGGCGGAGGACAAAGATGGCCTGCAACATCCCCAGGAAGCGTGGCAGATATATGTCGCTGACAACTCTCTGGCTCACGGATCTCGTGCTCGTGTCACGCCAGTGGCCTGGGGATCCGGAAAAGTCAGGCGATGGGCATCCTCCACTCTCGCTGGGGAAACTCTGTCGCTTTCTAGCGCTCTTGGGGAAGCCGAGCTGCATCAAATACTGTTGCTGGACGTAGTTCGAGGAAGCGTGGTGCATGAGAAGTGGAAGGGGGCACATAGGTCCGCTCGTTGCCATTCTAATGGGTCAATGCCAGGTTCTTGGGGAGCCCCATTCTGGGAACATCAGCGCGGTCGACGCCAAGGGTATATGCGACGCGCTCTCCAAGCTCACGGCAGGGTCCAAGTCGGACAGGCGGGCGGCCAATGACTAAGCGGTAGTCAGGCCCCCTATGGAAAGTTTCGGGGCTGCGATCCGGTGGATGCCACATCCACTGATGCCGGTCGACTGCATGACCAAATCGGATCTCGCTAAGACCAACGCGGCCCATCTGATGCTGCTCAAGTCAGGAATGCTCCGTCTCACGGCCGAAGAGTCTTCCATTCTGGAGAGGAAGGAGGACCCCCGGACCAAGGGATGTTCCAGGGCCGAGTCGAGACGACAGCTCCAGTAGGGCCCTCCCTTGGTTGACCGCCTTTCTCCGTTCGTTTCGCGCCCAAAAGAAAAAACGAATCGAGACTCCGTAGCGCGTTTGGCGCTGAAGGAGCTCACAGTATGTCGCCTTTTCGTCCAACTCTCGTAGCGCCGGCGACCGCCTCTTTTGAAGGAGCGCCAACTGGCCAGAGAGGAGCGACCACACGCTCCGTTTCGTGCTGCAGTTGCTGGTGCCACAGGAAGAGAGAGCGAGAGAGAGAGAGAGAGAGAATCCAGGTACGAGGGCGGAGTCCCTCTTGTGCCAGGACTATGTTTCAATGTTTTTCCATGTGACCCTCCAGGCAAGGTGGATGGTCCGGCCTCTCCCCCCCACTTCAAGCTCACTGTTTTTCGGGGCGCTGTGCCGTCGAGTGCCTCTGGCGCGTGACTTTCGTGAGCCCCCCAAAGTCCTGAGCTTGACAGTGCATACTGGGGGAGAGGAGACCGGTCCATGACCACTTTGGCCCAAGTTCCTTTTCTCCACTGCCAATCCTGATCCCCTCACCTTCCATTCCATCCCCTTCCCATTTCCCCACCCACACATCCGCTTGGAGGGTCACCGAGCTGATAGAGGAGACTTGGAATACTGCTCAGAGGGGGCATCGCCCGTTTGAGAGCACCGTCGCTTTCGAAAACGTCATTGTCAGTGAAACAAAGGGGCCCAGATAGTGGGGAAGTCTTGAGCGGTGCGCCTGTTTGGTGGCCGAGACGCCTCCTGCTTCCAGAGCAGATTCTGAGGATGTCTCGAGCAGGGCGCTGGTTCCAGGACCCCCAGGGTGACCCGCCGGCGGCCACTTCGAGGGTCGTTTTCGAGGGCGGAGGAGGAGGAGGAGGAGGAGGAGGAGGAGAAGGAAGACAAGTGTAAACAGACGAGCCACCATCGATGTTGGAGTAAACTCTCCCTCAAAGCTCCCTGTTCATAGGCCCCTACAACTGTTCATTTCCATTGATGGAACTGCCTTGTTGGAAGACACCCGTTTGAAGACCCTGAAGCATGCCAAAACATTTTTCTCGGGGTTCCAACGCCACGGATCAGCCTGATTGTTGCGCCTTGACGATCCTGAATCGTGCCAGAACGCCATTCCTAGGACTTCAACACAGAAAAGCAACGTAACTGCTCAGCAGCAAAATCCTGAACCCTTCCAACCACCATGTCTGGTACGCTGATGCTGGGAATCCGTGAACATGTTTAAAATTATTATATTGAATGTGCGCGGCGCTCAGGCGAGAGCCACATGTTGAAAACGACCCGCCCTCAAGACGTGAAACTCTTGCAAGCGTTTAAAACGAATGTGCCTCGCGCTAAGCCGAGAGCCACATTTTGAAAACGGCCCACCATCAATCAGTGAAACTATTGCGAATGTTAAAAACGAGTATGCACCGCGCGAAGGCGAGAGCCACATTTTGAAAAGGAACCGCCCTCCATCCGTGAAGCTCGTGCAACTGCTTAACAAGAATGCGCGCCGCGCTAAGGTGAGAGCTACATGTTGAAAACCAACCGCCCTCAACCCGTGCTCGCCTTGCAAATGTTTACGTCGAATGTGCGCGGCGCTAAGGCGAGATCCACATTTTGAAAAAGACCCGCCCTGAATATCTAAAGCTCTTGCAAATTCTAAAACGAATGCGCGCCGCGCTAAAGCGAGAGCATCGTGTTGAAAACGATCCGCCCTCCATGTGTGAAGGTGTTACCAACTTTTACTCTTCAGAGTCATACGTGCCCTAAAAACTGGCCTCGGGGTGCGACAGGGCGAAATTATTTATAACGAAAAGGAATGGATGAGGATGATGATGAGGAGGAGGAGGAGGAGGAGGAGGAGGAGGAGGAGGAGGAGGGAGGAGGAGGCAGGACGGAGGAGGAAGGAGGACGGAGGAGGAAGGAGGACGGAGGAGGAAGGAGGAGGGAAATGGGAGGAGGGTGGAAAAACAGGGAGGGGTCACGACGAGGAGGGAGAGCAAGAAGAGGCGAAGGGGCCTGCTCACCGCCTGAGACGATCACAGCCAGACACCCACAACGGAATGTGCCAGAACATGAGATCCACACATTGGGATCTCCGCGTCGAGTAACTCTTCCTCCGCATGGCCGATGCATTGGTCGACGTGGAGCCCGATTTTCTGCCCGCCGACGGCGCCAATGCATCGCCGATGTCGCCGATGCATGGCCGATGCATCGCCCTGCCCCCTCCCCTTCCCTCTCGTCCGCGCACATGCATCGGGCCATGGTACGCTAATCCCCTCTGGCGTGTACCCGACTTGAGCGCTTGTCCCGTGGTTCGGCAGTCGGTGCCAATTGGATCGGTAACCAGAGAGTTATAACGTTAGTTGCAATCAGGTAACCATCGCCCGGCCCTTTTCTGTTCCCAACCATCCTGTGGTGGTGGGTCTTCGCTTTGAAGAAACGTTCCCCTGCGTCTCCTCCTCCCGTACCCCCCCCCCCAGTGGGGATACCACATGCGTCCGCCACACCCAGTGCAGCGCTTCGTGACCCACTAGGGAGCTCCACCGAAGGCCCCAGTGGGGGTACCACATGTGTCTGCCGAACCCAGGACAGCGCTTCGTGGCCCCATAGGGAGTTCCACCGAAGGCCCCACTGGGGGGTACGACATGTGTCTGCCACACCCAGTACAGCGTATCGTGGCCCCATAGGGAGCTCCACGTAAGGCCCCAGTGGGGGATCCCACATGCGTCAGCCACCACCCAGTACACCGTTTCGTGGCCCCAGAGGGGCTCCACCGAAGGCCCCAGTGGGGGGTACCACATGCGTCTGCCACACCCAGTGCAGCGTTTCGTAGCCCTATAGGGGGCTCCACGTAAGGCCCCACTGGGGGTACGACATGCGTCCGCCACACCCAGTACAGTGTTTCGTGGCCCCATAGGGAGCTCCACGTAAGGCCGCAGTGGGGGTGGCCTCATGCGTCCGCCAAACCCAGTACAGCTTCGTGGCCCCATAGGGAGCTCCATCGGAGGCCCCAGTAGGGGTGCTCACCCAGTAAGCGCTTCGTGCCCCCAATAGGGAGCTCTACTGAAGCCCCCAATGGACCGTCCGCATGCGCCCCCCCACACACACACACACACACACACACACACACACACACACACACACACACACACACACACACACACACACACACACACACACACACACACACACACACACACACACACACACACACACACACACACACACACACACACACACACACACACACACACACACACACATACACACACACACACATACACATACACATACACATACACATACACATACACATACACATACACATACACATACACACACACACACTCACTCACTCACTCACTCACTCACTCACTCACTCACACAATTTGGCAGTTTCACCCACCCAGTACAGCTTTTCGTTGCCCCATAGGAAGCTCCACCGAACCCCCCAGTGGGACCGCCCGCATGCGTCCCGCACGCGCAATTCGCGCTTCGTGGCCCCAATAGGAAATTCCACCGAAGCGCACAGTGGGACCGTCCGCATGCGTCCCGGAAGCCCAATTTGGCATTTTCGCTCACCCAGTACAACGCTTCGTGGCCCCATCGGGAGCTCCACCGAAGCCCCCAGTGAGACCGCCCGCATGCGTCCCAGAAACCCAATTTGGCATTTTCACCCACCCAGTACAACGCTTCGTGGCCCCATCGGGAGCTCCACCGAAGCCCCTTGTGGGACCGTCCGCATGCGTCCCCCACAGCCAATTTGGCATTTTCACACACCCAGCACAGCGCTTCGTTGCCCCATAGGGAGCTCCACCGGCGGCCCAGTGCTACCGCCCGCATGCGCTCCCCCCCCACCCACTGCAGCGCTTCGTGGTGAGCTTCACCGAAGAAGATATTCACAATTGCGGTACCCACAACTGCATATGGTTGGGTCGTTCGCCAGGATTCTTTTTTCCCAACCATCCTGTGGTGTTGGGTTTTCGTTTTGAAGAGACAGCGCCCCGCGTCCCTCCTCTCCTCCTCCTCCCCCTCCTCCCCCTCCTCCCTCCTCCCTGCGTTTCACCCACCCAATACAGCGTTTCTTGGCCCAATAGGGAGCTCCACCGAAGCCCCCAGTGGCACCGCCCGCATGCGTCAGGCACCACTCAGCACAGCTTTTCGTGCCCCCGTAGGGAGCTCCACCGAAGGCCCCAGTGGCACCGCCCGCATACGTCAGCCACCATCCAGTACAGCGTTTCGTGGCACCGTAGGGAACTCCACCGATGGCCCCAGTGGCACCGCCCGCATGCGTTAGCCACCACCCAGTACAGCGTTTCGTGGCCCCGTAGGGAGTTCCACCGAAGGTTCCAGTGGCACCGCCCGCATGCGTCAGCCACCACTCAGCACAGCGCTTCGTGGCCCCATGGGGGACTCCACCGGGGGTCCCAGTGGGACCGCCCGCATGCGTCAGCCACCACCCATTACAGCGTTTCGTGGCCCCGTAGGGAGTTCCACCGGGGGTCCCAGTGGCACCGCCCGCATGCGTCAGCCACCACCCAGCACAGCGTTTCGTGGCCCCGTAGGGAGTTCCACCGAAGGCACCAGTGGCACAACCCACATGCGTCAGGCACCACTCAGCACAGCGTTTCGTGCCCCCGTAGGGAGCTCCACCGAAGGTCCCAGAGGCACCGCCCGCATGCGTCAGCCACCACTCAGTACAGCGTTTCGTGGGCCCACAGGGAGCTCCACTGACGGCCCCAGTGGCACCGCCCGCATGCGTCAGCCACCACCCAGTACAGCGTTTCGTGGCCCCGTAGGGAGTTCCACCGAAGTTTCCAGTGGCACCGCCCGCATGCATCAGCTACCACCCGGCACAGCGTTTCGTCGGCCCATAGGGGGCTCCACCGAAGGCACCTGTGGCACCGCCCGTATGCGTCAGCCACCACCCAGCACTGCGTTTCGTGGCCCCGTTCACCGAAGGTAACAGTGGGACCGCACGCGTGCGTCAGCCACCAACCAGTACAGCATTTCGTGGCCCCACAGGGGCTCCACCGAAGGTCCCAGTGGGACCGCCCGCGTGCGTCAGCCACCACCCAGTACAGCGCTTCGTGGCCCCGTAGGGAGCTCCACAGAAAGAGCCCAACGGCACCGCCCGCATGCGTCGTCCACCACCCAGTATTGCATTTCGCGGCCCCATTGTTTGGGAGCTCCACCAAGCCCCAGTGGCACCGCCCGCATGCGTCAGCCACCACCCAGCACAGCGTTTCGTGGCCCCACAGTGACCTCCACCGAAGCCCCCGCTGGCACCGCCCGCAAACGTCAGCCACCACCCAGTACAACGTTTCGTCGGCCCATACGCAGCTCCACCGAAGGCCCCAGTGGCACCGCCCACATTCGTCAGCCACCATCCAGTACAGCGTTTCGTGGCCCCGTAGGGAACTCCACCGAAGGTCCCAGTGTCACCGCCCGCATGCGTCCCCCCCACCCGGTACAGCGTTTCGTGGCCCCACTGGGATCTCCAGTAGCCCGCCCGCGTGCGTCAGCCACACCCACTGCAGCGTTGCGTGGGCCCATGGGGAGCTCCGCCGAAGGCCCGAATGGCAAAGCCCGCCTGCGTTCCCCCCCCCCGTGGCCCCGCAGGGAGCTCCACCGAAGGGCCCCGCTGGCTCCGCCCGCAGGCGCTCCCCCCCCCGGTACTGCGTCTCGTGGCCCCGCAGGGAGCTCCAGAGAAAGACCCCAGCGGCACCGCCCGCGCACGTTCCCCCGACCAGTACAGCGTTTCATGGCCTCATCGGGAGCTCCAGCGAGGGGCACCGCCAGCAAGCGTCAGCCACACAAAGCACAGCGTTTCGTGGCCCCATGGGAAGCCCAACCGAAGGCCCCAGTGTCACCGCCCGCATGCGTCTCCCCCACCCAATTCGGCACGTCCCTCACGCGCTTCGTGGCCCCATAGGGAGCTCCATCGAAAGCGTCACCCACAACGCGTTACTCACAACTGCATATGGTTGGGTCCTTCGCCAGGATAACTCTTATCTTTTCCAGGAGCAGCATGTTTGCGCGTAGAGCAACCAATATTGTAACAGTCCCCCCTCTTCAGTCTGTTTTTCTCTCCCCCTCTCTGTGCACTGACCCACTGTCTTTCTCGCCCAGGGTTTCTGGAGCCGGCCATGTGTGAATCTCCACGCACTCACCACACGGCGTGGTCATCTCTTCTGTGTGTTTTCCGCCCTCCATGCCCATGTCTCGTTGGTGTTCTCTGCGCTCTTCCGTCTACGTGTCTACCCTCTTCCGTCATGCCTCTCCCGTCCTCCTGCCAGTGCTCCTGCCGTTGCTCTATCTCAATATTGTCAATGTATCTCCTTGCTCGTATCTGTCTTCCTCCCTCGTTTCTCGTCCAATCTCTCCTCTTTCTTCCCTCCATGTCCCCCTACCACATCAGCCTTGCCCAATCGTGGTCTTCTCCTCCTCCTCCTCCTCCTCCTCCTCCTCCTCCTCATCATCATCATCATCATCAACATCATCATCATCCTCATCCTCATCCTCATCCTTATCCTTTTCCTCCTCCTCCTTATTGGGTTCTTGTCTTTCTCTGTCGCGTCTGATCCTTCGTGTCCATCCCTCCCCGCCCTTTTCCGACGAGGAAGACCGACGACGACCCACGACCAAAGACGACGAATGAATGCCGCTGACAGCGACGACGACGACACGACGAACGACGACGAATACCGAACGACATCGACGAACGCCAGACGACGGACGACGATGACGACGCCGACGCCGACGATGGCGCCGACGACGGCGGCGCCGACTGACGACGACCGACGACGACGACGACCGACGACCGACGACCGACGAGCGATGACGACGACGACGACGACGACGACGACGACGACGACGACGACGACGACGACCGACGACCGACGACGACCGACGACGACCGACGACCGACGAACGACTCAGATCTCCGCCGTCGTGTTGTTTCACGACGTGGACCCCCAGAGGCCTGGACCTCTTCCCTGGGACAGTCTGCTTCATCCCGAGCCGCTCTTCGATGGTCCTGGGGCCCTTGCGCGTGCCACGAGTGCTCGAAAATTGTCAACACCCCTGCGTTCTTTTTTCCCAACCATCCTGTGGTGTTGGGCCCTCGTTTTGAAGAGACGGTCCCCGCGTTCCCTCTTTCCTTCCCCCCTCCTCCCAACCCTTGCCTCTGCCCTCCGAATATCCACCATTTCGGCACACCCCTCACACCACCCGCATGGGACCGCCCGCATGCGTCAGCCACCACCCAGTACAGCGCTTCGTGGCCCCGTAGGGAGCTCTACCGAAGGTTCCAGTGGCACCGCCCGCATGCGTCAGCCTCCACCCAGCACAGCGGTTCGTGCCCCCATAGGGGGCTCCACCGAAGGCCCCATTGGCACCGCCCGCATGCGTCAGCCACCACCCAGTACAGCGTCTCCTGGCCCCATAGGGAGCTCCACCGAAGGTCCCAGTGGCACCGCCCGTATGCGTCAGCCACCACTCAGCACAGCGTTTCGTGGCCCCATAGGGGGCTCTACCGAAGGCCCCAGTGGCACCGCCCGCATGCGTCAGCCACCACCCAGCAATCGTGTCCTCACAGTGACCTCCACCGAAGCCCCCGCTGGCACCGCCCGCATGCGTCAGCCACCACTCAGTACAGCGCTTCGTGGCCCCGTAGGGAGCTTCACCGACGGCCCCAGTGTCACCGCCCGCATGCGTCAGCCACCACCCAGTACAGCGCTTTGTGGTCTCAAAGGGAGCTTCACCGAAGGTTCCAGTGGCACCGCCCGCATGCGTCAGCCTCCACCCAGCACAGCGGTTCGTGCCCCCATAGGGGGCTCCACCGAAGGCCCCAGTGGCACCGCCCGCATGCGTCAGCCACCACCCAGTACAGCGTTCCGTGGGGCCCATAGGGAGCTCCACCGAAGGCCCCGGTGGCACCGCCCGCATGCGCCTCCCCCCCCCCCAAGTACGGAACGTCCCTCACGCGCATCGTGGCCCCATAAGGGAGCTCCACCGAAAGCGGCACCCACAACGCGTTACTCCCAACTGCATTTGGTTGGGCCTTCCGCCAGGGTAATTTGTTTTCCCTCACGCCGCGAGGGGGTCTGTGGGCCAGACGGCCGTCGGGCGGCCGCCGATCGACGACGGACGGCGGGCGGCGGCGGCGGCACCGCCCAGAAGCGCGGTGCAGGAGCAGCCCCGCGAGGCCGTGTCGCGGCCGCCGGGGCAGCTGGGCCTGCCCGACCCGCACCAGCTGCTGGCAGGCGGGCCGCGCCGCAGCGCGCAGGGGCAGGACACGCACAGCGCGCAGCAGCCCCTGAGATGTAAGTCGGGCGTCGCCCTCTACAGGAGGATCATTCGCCAGGGCACCAGAGAAAAACCCCAATCGACCGAGAACCCGGGAACCCGGGAACCTACCGAAATCGGCCTGGAACCAAAAACCAGGAATCCAGGAACTCGGGACCGGGAACTCGGGAACCCAGCCAGCCACCAAAATCGGCGGGAATGTTTCGCCAAATCTTTCAATTTCCATTCGGACCCCTTCAGTGCAAGCACTGATTGGGGAAACTAATACAATTATACCCGGGAAAACCCAATCAGTGGATGATTTGAAAATTGGTACTATGGATCTTGAGATCGATTGTGAGATCGATAATGAAATCGATAGTGGAATCGATAGTGATGACGATTGTAAGGTAAATCGTGAGACCGAGAGAGAAATCGATTCAATGAGATCGATAGTGAGATCGATCGCGAGATCGCTCATGCGATCTCTAGTGAGATCGCTTGAGAGATTGCTAGTGAGATCGATTGTGAGATCGATGGTGAGATCGATCGAAAAGTCGGTAATGAGATCGATGGTGAGACCGATCGATAAGAAGATGGACCAGGAACGCGAGAAACCGGGAACCTCGCCGCCCTCCGAAATCGGCCCGGAACCGGGAACCCGAGAACCCGGAACCGGGAACCGGGGAACCTGGGAACCCAGCTTGCCACCAAAATTGGCGGGAAATTTTCGCCAAATCCTTCAATTTCCGCTAGGACCCCTTCAGTGCAAGCACTGATTGGGGAAAAATTGTCTAGGGATGTTGTTTTTTATATTATGCGCATTTTGAATATGTGTTGCTGCCTGTTCTTCAGTTGTCTTCCAAAATCCGCCTGTGGGTGGGCATGCCCGACCTAACCCTAAACAGAAACTTCTTGCGCTCCGCGCGAATTTCTTGGATCCGCGCTGGGCCCCCCGGCGGCGCCTCTGGCGCCGCCCCTGGCGCGCTCACGCGAGGGAGGGGCCCAGCGCGGATCCAAGAAATCCGCGCGGACTTCCCAAAGGCTGTGTTTATGGCGTTTTTTCTGCTTTTTCTATTTCGCCCCATTTCGAGCCCCAGGACCCTCACAGATCGGTCTGGCTCGAAAGATGACGCAGAAAGATGGGAGATTCCTGCGATGTCGCAATCTTGTGGCAACGTCGGATCTCAGGGACTGTCCGGATCTCCGAAGGTCTTGCTGCTTCAAATCGGGCGGACGGCAGCCTGGATAACCGATGGGGATGCTGAGTGGATAGGCGGTTCCAAGTGGATGCCGAGATGGTGTACATTTGGCCTGGCCCAGCTCAGGAGTTGGTCAGGAGTGCCCCAGAAGTGGCTCAGGGGAGGGGTAAAGGTCCGGGCTGAGAGGGCCCCGCCCACTTGGCGGAGTTGGCGAACTCACCCAAGCCTTTTGGGAACATGCAGCCCACTTACGTACGAGCTAGGTCAGGCCAGATATATTCCCACCTTGGAATCCACGTAGAACCCCCTGTGCACTTAGCACCCCCCGCGGTGATCCTGCGCAGTGCACGGTTCGGGGGTGGAGGAGTGCAGGGAAGCGGATCTAAAAGGGGCCCGGACCTGGCTCCACATTGGCACCGCGGGCCTCAACAAGGGAGCAAGAGGTGCACGCTTCTTCGCCCCCTTTTTCTTGCCCCCGCCGTAGCGAGCACCCATCGTCCAGACGTTATTTCTTCGATTTCGGCCTCTGGTGCTCATTGCCGGGTCCCAGGACCATCAGAAATGCGTTTGGGGAGAAAAACTGCACATTTGGAACCCGTAGTATCCCCCCGCCCAATCCGAAATTTGGGTCCTCGGGTTGCGTTGGGGTGGTCTGGTACGGTAGTTTGTGTCATGTCGACCGGCGGCGACCACACCGCCAGCGTTCAACGCTGAATGCCGCTGGCGATCCAGAATCGGTCGACCTTGAAAGATCTGACGTTTGAGAAACGGCCGACCGTTTGAGGTCGAACGATCCAGGCGGTATCAGAAAGCAAAGCCGAAGTCGGCACGACACGAGCCTGCCGTAGGTAATCAGCATGTCATTCGCTTTCCCGCCCTTTGGCTTGCACCGCGCACAACGCGCGAGCGTTTCCGCAGACGCCTGCCTGCCCAGGCAAGCAAAAACCGGCGGCGGGTCGGCGGGCGCGGCCGCGCACGATGCGGCAGGGCACCGCGCAGCAGGGGATTCGCTTTCCCGCACTGCGGTTCGCATTGCGTGCAGTAGGCTTCTTCGGCGGCAAGCGGGGGGAGAGTGAGAAGGAGCAGGCCCTCTCAAAAGGCGGCGGGACTTCTCAGAAGCCCCCCGGCCTTCTGAGAAGCTCTCTAGGCCTTCCCCCGAAGACACAAGCAGCCTTCCACAAGGCGCGAGGGCTTCTGAGGAGCCCCGCCGCCTGCTGAGAAGGCCTTCTCCTCCTCGCTCCCCCCCTCGCTCGCCGCCGATCGGTAGTCAGCATGGCATTCGATCTCCCGCGCTCTGGCTTGCACCGCGCAGCGCGCGAGCACGGCTCCGACGACCTCTCCCTGCCTGCCGGCAGACGCTGGTGGAGGGTCGGCGGTCGCGGCCGCGCAGCACTTGGCGCGGCCTCGCGCACCAGGGGATTCGCTGGCCCACGCTGCGCTCCGCAGTGCCTGCGGTGGGTGCTTGCGGCGTTGTCGCGCCGGCGACCCCTGCGAAGGCGTTCGTCGGACTCGTCGCAACGAGGTCTGAGATCGAAAAGTCTTTTCGGGGAGGGTGCCCCAATGTTCTTCGTGTCTGTTGGGTGTTCTTGTGCATCCTGGGAAGGATGCTCTTGGGTGTTATGTGTGTTTTGGTCGGTGGAGTGTCTCATGCTCTTGAAGGCTGTTCTTCTGTCCTGGGTCCCTCTGTACGGTAGGTTCATGCGGCGTTGGCGCGACGGCGACGCCGGCGATGGCGTTCAAGGTTGAATTCTGCGACGCGGAAGCACCGAGGGACGCGGTGAAGCCTTTGGACCTGGCGGAATGCAGCCGTGAGCGATCGGGGCCGCCATCTGTTGAAGGTCAACGATCGACGCGGAGTCACAATCGCTTTCGTACGGCAACGCCGCGCGAACTACGCCGCACGTGGTGTCCCACTGTGCCCCCCGCCAGGTCCAGCCGCTGGCTGCCGCTCCCCGCCACCCTTGCCACCGTGTTTCGCCGCGGCCGCCCACCGCGCTCTGGCCCTGCGCGCCTAGCTGCTGCTGCCCCCCACCGGCTGCTCATCGTCGAAGTCTTCGGCGTCTGACCGTCCCTTTTTCCTCTCGGCCGTCCCCCCCCCCCTCTTTGCTCGCCGGCCAATACGCTAGTTAGTGCCCCTATTTAGCTTCTCGCTGGGGCGGAGTTCGCCGCCTCACCGCCGAGAAGAATAATGAGTGGTTCTAGAAGCCCCCCTGGTCGTTCAAATTCCGAGGGGCTGGCACCTCCTGCGTTGGCAGAAACTGTTGGAGGCCTGGAAATGCGCAACAACGCCAACACCGACACAGGGGGCTGCCTCCACAGGGGGAAGATGATCCTAGGTGTCGGTGTTGGTGGTAATTTTTCTTTCGCCTTGGAAGTCAAAGTATCACCACCATCACCGAGATCGGAATCCTTTTTCGTCGGTGGAGGCACACAGCCGATATTGGTGTTGGTGTAAGCCTGTAGGTCTGTCAATCTTGCGGAGGGTCTGCGCATCCTGGAGCACGACGCGGCGCAGCCGCACATGATGCCATCCGCGTTCCTGCGTTGCGGGTAAGTCGGGCGCGCCCCTCTACAGGAGGAATCTTCCAATTTTTATTCAAAATGCTCAGAGGACGATGTTTGACTATTGTTGGCCTTTGGGTTTTTTCCCGTATTTCTAAGGTTCGCCCAAAATTCGCCTGTAGGGGGACGTGCCCGACCTAACGATACGGGCAGCATGACGTAGCACGTGAGATTCTAGACGCTTCCCGGCATTGCAACAAAAAGCTCGAATTGGCATGCTTTGCTCTGGCCAGAGCTGGCGGAGGATGTGGAAGCGGGCTTGCGGCACAGCGCGGTACCGCGCACAATGGCATTGCGTTTCTGCGTTGCGATTTGCACTCGGTCTTTGTATGCACATGGTTGTGTATTGTATTGATGTGGCATTGCAGTGTTCCGCTTTTGCGCTACTCGGCGCTACATGGTGGTCCGCAATGCGTTGCTCGTTCACTGTGTGAGGAAGGCGTGGCGTTGCATTTGAATTTCGACTTATGGTATCATTTCGATACGCATCGTTTTCCACTCCGTTGTTGTCCCATCGTTTCCGCATTGCTGTTGTATCATGTTTGCAGTGTGTTTAGATGGCCTTCGCATTATCGAACATGACATTGAGTTGAGCAGTCCGCACCCCTTGGTATTTCGTCATTGCAGACTTCTTTTGTTGTTTTCCGCGGCATCGTGTTTTTTTTTGTTATCTCTCTCTCTCTATATATATATATTCATACATATATCGATGTCACATCTTCTCTCTCTCTCTCTCTCTCTCCCTCTCCCTCGCACCGCCTCACCGCCAAAGAGAATCCCCAGTGTGGGTTACGCCGGGTCCGTCCTTCGACGCCGGGGCCTGGGGATGGCGGCAGCCAGCGGCGGTGGCCGCCCAGACATCCGGCGCGCTCCAGCGGCTCGCCCTCGACTTCTCGGCCCCTCCCCTGGGGTCGGCTTCTCGTCCCGCGTCGTGTGCCCCGACGGCCCCGAGGGCCGAAGGTGGCCCCCGCTCTGGGTCGCGCCCAGGAGGGCGCATGCACCGTTCCTGGGCCCAGGAGGGGCCCGGCCAGGAGCCTCCGATGTGGAGAGGCCCCGTCGCCCTGAGCAGCTCACGCGCCGGCGCGATCCTGCCGTGCGCCATGCGGCCGCCTCGATCTTCCTCGGGGCGCCCGGTGCGCGGCCAAGGCCTCTCGGCGGGCGGGCGTCGGCGGCGGGGCCGCGCCCGCGGCGGCCAGGCGCGCAGCTGGGCGCGCCCTGGGAGGCGCCGTGCCCGCAGTTTGCGCCGCAGGGCGGGGGCTGGCAGGCGCCGACGGGCGGCGGCTGGGAGGCGCCGCCGGAGGGGGTCCATCGGGGGCAGCGTCGGGGGGGGGGGGGCGACGTCAGGGACAGCGCGGGTGATGGTGCTCGAGGTTGTCGCTGCTGTGCGTCGGTTCTCGGTGGCTTTCCAGCCTCGAGGTGCCTTCGAGCGGTTGCGCCGCGCCGAGGGCGGCCTCGGGGGGCCCAGATCGTCCCGAGGGGCCGCCGGAGGGCAGAGCTGTGACCCCAGAGCCCGGGTGCAACGCTATAGGGGGAAATAGGCTCAGGGGGGGCACCCCGCCCATGAGTGTGCGGCTTCGACTCACGGGGGCCTGTGGCGCGCCGATGCATCGCGCCGCAGGGAGGGGGCGAGGGAACGCCCAGGGGCGGCGGCTGGGAGGTGCCGCCAGAGGGGTCCAGGGCCCCGCCTTTCAAGGATGGGCGGTTCAGAGGCCCAAGCCTCGGACGATATTGACGAAGAACTGCTCTCGGGGACGCCTGCTGGAGGGCTCAGAGGAGGAGAGGATACCACTACCGCTGCTCCTGCTTCGTGTTCGCTTTTTTGGGGCCTCCTTGGAGGCGTTCGTCGCTACCGCTGGATTCGCTTTGAATTTCTGGTCAGAACGCACCCCGGGAGAGGTCTGGTTTTGGCTGGCAGGCGCCGCCGAAGGGGTCCAGGCCTCCGACGCATGAGATAAATCAAGACGAAGTGTTTTGTTGTTCTCTCACTTTTCGGTTTGTGGTCGGCGTCACCCCAACATACTATGTGTGCGTCGCCCCTCCCCAGGGGCGACGCGCGCACCGAGAAATCTTAGTATACGCGTCGTGGCGGGCGCTTTCTGGCCACACCGCTTGGGAAACGGTAGACTACAAGATGGGCATACTATCTGTTCGCGTCGGACGCGCGCCTCCAAGGAGGACATGGAGCACTAGCACGTCCTTGTGCCTCCCATCGATTTTTTTTAGTTGTTCTCCCGCTTTTCGGTCCGTGGGGACCCTCGCCGGGCCCCGGGGCAGTCAGAGGCTGCTGAGGGCGAGGGGCGCCGGTTGCGGGGGAGGGGCCCAGCCAGACGTGCGCGGGGCGAGGCCTTGCAGGATTGGCGAGCTGGCCTTCGGGGGGGGCCCTCGTCGTCACGGCGGGGCGCCGCTCGGAAAATCGAGGCGTTTGCGAGTTTCGGGCGGGTGGTCACGAGTCGGAGGTTGATACACCTCCTACCCTGACACGTCGATTAGCGAATTGGCCGTTTCTGGCTCGCGAGAGGGCGTTGCGGCCGTCACTTCTGCGGGTCCAGGTCCGTCGGTTTCGGTCCTGGGCCGTTCTCACGAAAGGGAGGTTTACTAAAGGGAGGTCCGTCCACCGCCGAGTGAGGGGTGACCCAAATGGGGGGTGAAGAAAAGGGCCCGAAAGGGGCCCTTGAGGGCCCCTTTTGGAGCCGGTTGGCGCCCCAAGAGGGGCCTGAAGGCCCCCTTAGGGGCCCTTTTCTTCACCCCCATGATCGCCCGCGCGATCTTCAGTTGCCGTGGTCTCGGAGGGCACCAACTATACACCAACACCGATCCTGGCCAGGCCGATCCGAGGCCCAAAATCGGTGTATATGCATCCTGCGCAAGACAGGAGGGCGTATACTCCGATCCTGGACCCAGGGTGATCCTGGCCAGGATCGGTGTTGGTGTATAGTTGGTGCCTTCCTATGGTCTCCTTTCGCCCTGGTCGGGTCCAGACCTCCAACGCAGTGACAGACATCCGGACGGAGGTTTCTGGCACCTGTCGGACTCTGGGGGCCCCCGCTGGGGCCCCGGGGCCGTCAGGGAACAGTTTTGGAGAGCTGGGGGTGCAGGCGCGTGAGGGGTGTTCCTCCTCGGGCTCTCAGACGGCATGGGGCGAGCCTCCTTGAAGCTATGCCCGACCCACAATCCTCCCTCATCCGCTTCTCTCTCTCTCTCTCTCTCTTTCTCTCTGTAAATTTACTTATGTCTCCTTCTCTCTCTCTCTCTTTCTCTCATCCTCTCCCTCCCTCCTTCCCTCTCTCTCTCTCTTTCTCGCGCTCTCTCTCTCCCTCTCTCTCTCTCTCTTTCTCTCTCTATGTGTTTATCGTTGTTTGCTGTTTTTTTCTATGCTTGTATCATCTATAGATATGTTGTGCTCACTGGTAAGTTATTGCCCTGCGTCGAGGATATTGTGCTGTTGGTAGGTATTCTCTCCATGGGCCTTGGCGGGGACGGGGTTCCGCAGACAGCATGTATGCACCACGGTGCCAGGCAGGGGCCATCTTGGGACCTAACCTGACACGCTGGTGGTGTATATGCCTTCTGCGTAGGGGTGGTCAGGGGGATGGGGGTGGGAAGAAACGATCCGCCGCCGCGAGGGCTCCAGCGGGACCATTTCCAGGCCCAACTCCCTGGTGGAAGCGGCCTTGCTGCCTGCCCGCGAGCGAGCATCCCATCGAGCCCTGGGTCCAGATCGGGCCTGTTGAGACTCAGTGGTCAGTGGGGGACCCCTCTCCAAAGAGGTGGGCGGAAATACGGCGGTGCGGATCGAACCGGACGGCGCCAGAGTCGCGCAGGGCAGGGGCATTGGGTGCTCGGGTCGGACGGAACGGATGGCCGCCGCAGCGGCTCCTTCGATGCATGGGCGCTTCTGGCGCCGGGAGGCGCCAGGAAAACCGGCAGCGTGAGCTCGGCGTCACACCAACATGTTTATACACCTTAGGCGATGTTTAAGAAAACCTAAGTTTTCGTCCAAAGTCTCGATTATTCTTAACTTTTCAATGTAAATCCCAAGATGTGTTGATAGAAGTTCTGGGTTTTATTCAATTTCTGAGACCATGAATTTCTTAACCCATGATTTCTTAAGCATTTCGCAGGGTGTACTATGTGTGCGTCTTTAAGGCCCGCGCCTTCCAAGAAGCAGGGGTGCTTCTAAGATGCCTTCCCCCCACCCCCTACCCCTTGTGCGCGCCGCCGAGGGGGGGGTGGGGGAGGGGGGCGCCGTCGGCGGGGGAAGCCGTGCGCGGCGCGAGCCAGGCGCAGCAGGGGTCCCACGGCAGCCGCCTCGGCGGCTACCCGCCACCTGGCGGCCCAGCGGCGGGGGGCGGGCGAGGGGTCGCGCCAGCAGCGTCGGGGAGTGTCTCTGCCCCTGTCGCCACCTGCCTGCTGCTGATGCCGGACAGAACACGTACCCATCGGTCGTTGACAGCGGGTATGTCTTAGAGCCCCAGATTCCAATCCACATTGAGCGCCGTCCTACTTTCATGATCGAGTGGCTTCACCTGTTCCGTCCTCTTTAGGGGGCGGGCGGACACCCAATCTACTGTCACCCCCTTCCTAGTTCATGTTTCTACTTATTTCTCATGGCGCCAACATCGCAGAGCGGATCTCGTTCGGAAAACGATAGGTTGGACCCGGAGTGTCCTGGAGAATTTCTTTCCGGATTTCGAGGTTAATTTCGTACGGATTTGTGGTCAGGAATGAAGACTACTAGAAAACCCACGTGACATTCACTCCGTGTTTCGCTTGCTGTTTCGGGGTTTTGCGCTGGCAGGACTTCCACGCAGAAATTCGCTGCAGCACGTCTGCAAGGTCAGTGCAGTGATACTTCGTCCGATCAACTGGTACAGTTCAGGCGATCGCAAACATGGATCAAGGGGGCGTGGATTAGCGACGGGTCCCGTTTCCATGGGCAATCGCAGATTTCCGCCGCCGAGCGAGGCGGCATTGGCCTCATTTTGGGGAGGGCACCTCCCGCGATCCATGGATTTGGCGACTGCGCGCAAAATCCATGGATCGCTAATCCATGTGTGCGCGCCCCCGATATCAGTGCGTTGCAGTGATACTTCAATGATCGAGTGGCTTCACCTTTTCCGTCCTCTTTAGGGGGCGGGCGGACACCCAATCTACTGTCAACGTCTTCCTACTTCATGTTTCTACCTACTTCTTCCGACCGATGGGTAGTTCTTGCGTGTTCATCGATTTCGGCTTCTCGGGCCCGTCATCGATCCCAGGGATCACGGACAGCAGATCCGGGACGAAGAACTGCTCTCGGGGACGCCTGCTGGAGGGCTCAGAGGAGGAGAGGATACCACTACCGCTGCTCCTGCCTCGTGTTCGCTTTTTTGGGGCCTCCTTGGAGGCGTTCGTCCGACCGATGGCTACGCGTGCAGAGGGCCGTGCGGATTTGTTGGACCGGACTTGCGTCCTTCCCCCGTGGCGGCTCCGAAGGGGCGTCGCTCCTGGCGGGGGCCGATCCTAGAGCTCGTGCGGGGATCTCCACCGACGTGTGTTTGCGCAGCTGCTGATCATCATCTTGTTATTGTTATTCGCATCATTATTCTGATTATTATTTTTCGTTTTTGGATATCCGTCGGTGGCGCCTTGCTTGCGCACCAGGGGTTGCACGCCTGTTCTTTGTTTTGCGAACCGCGTGCAACGCATAATGTGCGTTCTGGTTCCGCATCGCATCGTTAAGTGTATGCATGTGTGTCTTCACGCACGGTATAGCATGAAGAGCTGGTTATTGTACTTAGCAGCACGCTGCGTAACTGCGTGCTCCTCGATCGCCACGCTGGTTTTGCTTCTGCATGTCTGAACTCGTGTCATCAAATTCCTGTCCTTCGACTGCCATAGCATCTGGTATTGCTGGACGACTTCTGCTGCGGTACTGGATATCTTGAACATTGGTAATAGCGGGATAACACTCACAAGGTCCCTAGTGCGCTTAGCGTTGACGGCTTGAAAGGCGGCATGAGTGGGCCTAGCAAGGACACGCCACTGGTGCACTCTTCCGAGTTCGTTCGTTGGCCCTCTCGAATCATACAAATCGTTGAGAAAGAAGGCCAGGAGGTATGCCAGCATGCCCAAGGAAAGATGGCACATAAATGTGTGCGGAAGGAGTTCACCGCCGATGTTGACAGTATGCAGCGTCTCATGTGCAAGGCTCAGGACGCGGTCGAAGGCATGTCCGCAACAGATGCTAGAAGTTAGCAGTCATGGAAGGAGTTGCGCATTCGCTTGGGCAGAATGCTCGAATGCGAAAAGCAGCCGCGATCGCCGACGGAATGCGAGAGTGTCTTCCGGCAGGGCCCCCGACTCTTGCCAGCCGTCGCGGTTGCCGCACGCGCTGCCGGGGGAGCGCCCGCCCGCTCTCTCCCGCTCAGATCTCTATGATTTCGTTGGCGAGCGTTTACGCCCCGCATGCATCGTCCTTCTCTCCTCGCCCCGCTCCCCGTTCTCCCTCCTCTCTCTCTCCCCCTCTTGTCTCCCTCGGTTGTGCTCGCGAGGGCTGCAGTGCGGGCGCCGTCGTGTCAGACCCGCTCACGCAGGCGCGAGTTTACAGTCTGTGCTCGCCGTTGTCCGCTGCTTCCTCGTCTTCCTGCCCCGCCCGAGCACAGGGCCACTGACGGCAGCTTCCCAGCTTCCGCTTTTAGTGCGTAGCGTTCGGCTGGGACCGTTTGGATCGCCGTATCTTGGCAATGGTTGTTCACTGTCCTCTTCCCCTCTCCCTCTTTCGCCCGCGGCTTTTCGCTTCTGGCCCTCGGCCTGGTTTCAAGCAGCGTTGATCGTGGCAGCCGGTTTGGCAAGCACGCAGCCCACTCCTTCTTGCACGGTGTCACCAGCCAGTTTCAGTATGATGGAGTCCCCTTCCCATCAGTTGGGATGCTGGCAGTTTTCATCATCGTGTGTTCTGCCATGAATGGGAGCATGTAGAGTGACAAGTAAGAATTGCACAAGCGACCCGTCACACAGCAGCGCCCTGGGCGGTGATTTATACATGGGGTTCCGGACTTTTCGCTGCGCGTCGTCGTTGTTATCGAGTTGAGGTGCTATCATCGCCCGTTCTGCAGTCTTCCAGCCGCAGAACATTTTTGGGGGAATCGTCCCCCGTGTGTTCTTGTTTCACGCAGACAGGCAATGCGTGATTCGAGAACCCCCGCGGCAGCTACACCTCACGTGCTTGGCTGTCTGTTGATTATGCGCGGAAGTTGTCGCAAGGCCAAGCGAGGTATTGTTCTCGCCGAGGCATGCAATTGCATGACGGTGTGACGGCGGGCAGGCAACGAAGCAGAATCTCGGGACAGACTGCCTACAACAATGGTTGGAGAGGTCTGGGAACTCGAACCTGGAACACTTCCGATCGACGCGGGACAGCCCTCCGCACTCGTATCGCACCGCGCAGTCGTGGGCAATGTTGTTTGGCGCTGACTGCGGAAAGTGAAGATACGGAACTATGGATTGCCACGCAAGGTTTCAAGGCCACAGTCTGCCTCTTGGCAGCGGCCTACTGGGCGACCGCAGATCGAGTATGGCGGGCGGGTGCGCAAGCTTTCCTGCTTGCGGAGCGTCCTTTTTCGTGCGCGGGTTTCTCCTGTCGCGGAGATTTGCAATGACGCGCGGAGGCGAGGCATGTGCATTGAACAGGTCGAGCACGTTCCAGCACGTTCGGTCAGTGCAAACAGATTCTGGAGTTGCAGAGCGCTGCTGTCATCATTTGTATGTATGTGTGTGTGCGTAGGCCTGGGGGGGTCCTGTGTCATGGGGTCCCAAATCAACGCGCGGTCCAAGGGCCCCACGACACAATCCGACCAATCGGACCTGCCTTTGTGGAAGCAGGACAATCCATGGCTCATGCTTCCCATCATGGCTACTGTCGTCCTCTTATATGTTTTATGATCCTCATGTTTGATGTTCCTATTCTCCGAATTGGTATTTTCCAATCCGTGCTTGCACTGAAGGGGTCCTAGCGGATGTTGAAAGATTTAGTGAAAGTTTCCCGGCGATTTCGGTGGGCGGCTGGGTTCCCTGGTTCCCGGTTCCGGGTTCCATGTTCCTTGTTGCTGGATCTGGGCCGATTTCGGTGGGCGGCGGGGTTCCTGGGTTTGCGGGTTCCCAGACTCTTGGTCGATTCCTTTGTCGATCGGTCTCACCATCGATCTCATTACCCACCTCTTTATCGATCTCGTTATCGATCTCACAATCGATCCCACGATCGATCTCACAATCAATCTCATTATAGATCGTACATGTTATCTCACGATCGATCTCATGATCGATCTCACTGAATGGATCTCATTATCGGTCTTACGATCTCACTGGATCAATTTCATTATCGTCTTCACTATCGATCCCACCATTGACCTCACCATCGATCTCACAATCGATCTCAATATCCGTATCAGTAGTTTTCAGACCATCCACTGATTAGGTTCTTCTCTGGTGTAGTTGTCAGCATATTCCTCAATCATTTTACTATTTGTCATCTGTATGCCCCATGTCTCCGCCTCAGCCCATCACTCCCTTTCCTCTCACATCCGCTTGTCCTCATCCTCATCCATGTTCCCTCCGTTGCTCCATCTGCCCATCTACTAGGCTGCATCCACTTGCCTTGTTCTCAGTCTCTCCTCCCTGCGCGTGTGCTTCCTCATATTTCCTCCTTCTTTTCACCAACCGCCACGCCCTACCTCCATCGTCCGTCTTCCTCCCCTGCACTCACTCCTCTCATCGCACTCTGCCTCAGAGTGAGGAGATGTCTTCGATCTCGTCGTTGTCGCCACCATCGTCCTGCGATACCGTTTTACTTCTTGTGCTCTGCCCGAAGACATTTTGCAGGTTTCCACTTTTGCACCAACAACACAGCTTCCTTGAATCGATGGCCCGTGCCGCCACCGCCGTCGTTCTCCTCCTGAGCATCGGCTTGACCTCGGGGCTCCAGGTGCTGGACTCGGAGGACCCCTCGGGGAGCCCTTCCGCGTTCGATGCCAAGGTAGAGGACCCCAAGTATTGGACGGCCACGGGGCCCGCCGCGGGCGACCCGAAGCTCGAAGGCCTGTACGGCAAGCGGTTCCAGATCCACCGCCCGGGCGACTTTACCCTCATGAAGGTGCCAAACGCCAAGAAGGGGCACGGCAGCCTGCTGGAGGTGGAGGCCGAGGTGAAGGAGATGGAGATCGGGGACCCGTGCCTGCTTTTCATCAAGAAGATCACCGTCTCCGGCTCCTGGCTGGGTGGAGAGAGCCTGAAGGTGCACGCGCCCGGGGTCGGCGCCGACTTCGCGCTGAGGGTGGATCAGAAGAAGCACGAGGGCCCCTGGA